GCCGAGCGGCCGCAGCGTAAAGGTGCGGCAGCGGGACAGCAGCGCGTGGACGACCTTGAAGCTCGGGTTCTCCGTGGTGGCGCCGATGAGGGTGACGGTGCCGGCCTCGACGGGCCGCAGGAACACGTCCTGCTGCGCCTTGTTGAAGCGGTGCAGCTCGTCGCAGAAGATGATGGTGCGCCGGCCGGCGAGTGCGAGGTCGCTGGCCGCCTCCTGGAACAGCTTCTTGCACTCGCCCACGCTCGAGCTCGTCGCGTTGATCTCGACGAAGCGCCGCCCGGTCGCGTGCGCGATGCACCGCGCAATCGTCGTCTTGCCCGTGCCCGCGCCGCCCCAGAGGATCATGGACGGCACCCGGTCCGACTCGATGAGCGCGCGCAGCACGCCCTGCCGGCCCACGAGGTCCTGCCCGTACACGTCGTCGAGCGTCGTCGGCCGCATGCGCTCGGCGAGCGGCGCCGCCTTGCTGAGCTTGGCGCGCTTGACCAGCTTGCCATTGTCCGGTGTCGTCGTCGTCGTCGGAGCAGTAGGTTCTGCAATGCCGTTGAGGGGCGGTCCCTCGCTCGAGTCGCCGACGCGTGACAGCGGCGCACTGATGCTGGCGTCGCTCGCGCCAGGACCTTCCTCAAAGGTTCGCTTCTTGCCGATGAGCGGCACCGGCGTCACGGGCTTGGCGTCTCCATTTTGCTGTCGTTTCGGCGCGGGCGTTGAGAAGAAGCTCGAGGCGCTTCGTTTCTGTGTCGTCGGCGGCGGCTGCGACAAGGCGGTCGCGGCGGCAATGTCTGTCGATGGTGGCGAGTCCTTGCCGACGATGAAGCGCGCGCAGCCCGAGTCGATGTGGCTATTGATCTCGGAGGGCTTGACGGGTTTGTTGCATATTGGGCAGTCGACAGACATGTGCGGTATAGGCTGTGTTGGGCGACGATGATGCAATTGTTGCAATTCGGATGAGCGGGAAGAAAACAGATGACGGAGGGGCAAAAATGGGCGTGTCGAGGTTGCTCGAAAAATTATCTAGGTGCCCTGGTGCCTGGGAAACGCGTTTAAGTGGCGAAGGAGCGCGTTAAACAGGCTTGACATCAGCTGTGGCGGGGCAGCCAGGCTATTTGGTAAATGTGTGTATAAACTCATATAGTGTTTCCGTTTTATTTAGAATTTGGAAACTGTTTTGCCAGAATATAAAAATCATGCCTCTATTCGCAAATGTCTTCGAAAGCTGCACTGTTACGCGCGGTGCAGATGTTTCAGTGTGACCGAATCTCTACATGAAGGCTGAAGCTCAACCTAACGCATGTCTAACTGTTTCCCTCATTACGCCCTCAAAATAGTCCCGGGACGAATCTCTTCGTCTTTGCGTGCCACGCCTCCCACTCCTTGCCAAACAGCTCCTTGAGCATTGCCTCCTCCTGGGCCACGCGCGTGGCAATCTGCTGCGCGACGAGCAGCCCGGCGCCGACCATGAGCGTCGCGGCCCAGGCCTGGACGCGCGGCCAGTAGACAGGCGGGACGAAGCACGCCAGCGCGCCGTCGGGCCGCACAAACACGGCGAAGCTCGCCACGGCGACGAGCCACATGCCCGTGTAGCTCGGGTGCTGCACCTGCGCGTAGATGCCCGTCGTCACGAGCCCGCTGGGCCTGGCCAGCCCAAAGGTAAAGTTCTTTCCCAGGCCGCTGAAGGCGCCCATGCGCAGCGGCGCGCCGGCCAGGACCGCCAGGAACGCCGCCGCCGTCACGGGGCTCCAGCGGAAGAGGGCCGGGTTCGGCTGCCCCGGCGCGGGACAGACGCGCGCCGCCGCCGCGGGCGGGAGCGCCGTCAGCGCCGCGTGGTAGAGGATGAGCGCCGACGACGAGAGGATGGCCAGGTTGATGATGAAGGCGCTGCGCGCGAACCAGAGCGCGTCGGCGCGCCACGCCCGCTCGTCGTGTGGCGTGCGGTTCGGCGGCACGATGACGCGCACCGTCAGGTAGCCGGCCACGAGCAGGGCGACGAAGAAGGAGAGCTGCTGCGGCGAGGACAAGTCGGCATCCATGACTGAGCAGGGTAGGAAGTAGGGGAGGTTGGTGATGGAGGACAGTTGGGGTCAGCACATCCCGGGGGGGGCGGCGGGAGGTTTCTAGTGCGAGATCTGGCAATCTGTAAAGTTGGGTGCCGGGACCCAGCCGAGGCACTTCCCCAACGGGGCCAACTCGACAACCTTGACCCCTCCAGGGCCCTCACTGATGATGAAACAATGACAAAGTCTAAAAATCCTATAATGGATAATATGGATGCAATGTAGTTTTTAGTACACGGTATAGAAAAAGTACTTTGGAAGCACTCTAAAAACATGGTCAAACTTCCGAACCCCCGATTCAAGAGAACATGTATTCCCCGAATGCATGACATCAAACGCCGATCCCATGATAGTTATGCGCAGTCCATGTCGTCATAAACCTCCCAGTCAATCCCCCGGGAATGAAAAAGCAATCCTCGCCGACCTGGATCTCTAGTACGCCGTCTTAAGCGTCCGAATCTTTGGTGATAGCAAGCCCGCTTCCGCCTTTCTCTTCCCGAGCACAGGCTCCGGTGTCCGTCTTAAAGCGCCAGGCGTGCCTTCGCGGTCCCTCGTAGCCTCGGCATGACACGAGGCGTGATAGGCGCGGTTCCGTACCAACACCGCGTCCAGCCACACCCACTCCTGCGCAGTATCGAGCCACTTGTTCTCAAACTTCTCCTGGCAGATGGGACAAACATTGTTGATACCGCTCGTGGGTTCTGGGACCCGCATGTATATCGGCCCAGAGGCAGCCTTGGACTGCTCCTCTGCCGAAGGCTCTGGTTGCGCAATGTGGTCCACGTCGACCACTTCGCGTGATTTCAGCCAGTCCTGAACATGCGTTAGTACAATACACTCGTGCTCGGACACTGAAAGATGCTTTGGCTTACCTGTTGGTCAACGTACCAACTGCGATGCGTTCCTCTCTTCTCTGCCTCTGCGCTTCGCTGTTTTACTTTGAAATGCCAGTCCATGTGAGCTCGGCGTTGTTTGTCGCCCTCCATGTTACGCTTGAATCGTCTGCCACATTCAGCGCAAGGCGGCCCAAGGTCATCGTACAACGCATTGATGATGTTGTCAGGCGATCTGTTCCTCGGTTAGGATGCGGTCATACTGTTTTATTATACGGGTTACTTGCTGTTGTTTTAACATGACTTCATTGAGGCTTCCTGTTCCCATGTTTGCCATCGCAAAAGCGCCAGCCTTGGCTGCGGAAAGAATACTGGCAATATTGGCTGGGATAACGGGAGGCGGAGCTACCGGTTGAGCAACTGCTGGCGTTGGGGTGGCCGTCGGAGGCAGCATACCGGCTTGCCGCAATCGATCCAGCAAGGACATTGCATCTGCTGGGGCTGCAGCAGCAGGTGTTGGAAGTTGGGCTGGCACAGGCGGGGGTGATCGGATTGCTCCCGAGCCAGGAGGGGTTGTATTGTTGGAATTAGATCCAGTTCTTGCCATCAGAGCAGCAAGGGCTCCTGGACCTAGCAACGCGTCAAGAGACGCCTGTCCTGGCGGATGCTGGCTGACAGGTTGCGTTACTTGTTGAAACTGCCCCGAAGGTGCCCGAGTAGGTAACAGGTTTTGCCCTGTGTATGAGGGGGGAGCACTGGGCCTGTTTACAGCAGCAAGTTCGGTTACTTTGTTTTTAATGAGCTCGAGCTGGTCTGGAGGCAAGGCCGACTTGATGACACCTCGGAGATCCATCAATGCTTTAAGTCTGGTTTGTATACCCGCATCATGCGGATTCTGTGAGAACTCGGCTTGTGTCGCTACAATCAGATTCTCAATATCCTGATTCAACTTGTCTACGTTTGTGCCCGGCGGTCCAGCGCCGTACTGTCCAGGGGGGGGGTAAGGTCCTTGCGGTTGGCCCGGCTGAGGCGTGATTTGGCGATGATTGTTGGCCTGCCAGTTGTCAGAACACTGCAAAGAGCCTTCGTGGTGGTTTTGACTTACTGGCGTGTGGCTTTGGTATTGGCCAGGTACCTGCCCTCCATTCTGCAGCTGGCCGTGTCCATCACCAACCGGATAGCCTCGCATCCCCGGCGGCGTAGGTGTGTTGCGGTGTGGCATCATGACTCCCCTTCCCCGTCCAGCCATTGCATATTGTGGCATGGTAACCGCATGAGCTCGCATCAGAGCATTCTCTATCGGCCGAACCAATTCGTGCGAGAAGACCGGCCTGGTATCCATTGATCCGGGGACTGCATCTTTCCACGTCTTCAGCATGTCCTCCATTCTCTTTCGCACGGGACCGTCAACCATCGCGTACGATTCCATGAATATCTTGAAAAGATTCCGTCCGAAATAAAGCGTGTAGGGAGTACCGACATTCTTCACGATGGAGTCGAGCACATAGAGAGCAGGTAGCTTCTTGGCTGGGGGGGCCTAGTACTTGGTCAGCATTTCCCAATGCTCGTTGCAGGTTGCGATGTTTAACAAATAACTCATTGTCACATCATAGTTAGCATTGGCTCGCCACCTACCTTGAGAATATGTTGTTGCAGAACCTCAGCGATGGCCAATGCGTGCTCAGTGTTCTCTCGCGCGATCACAGTCAGGTTGCTAATTTCGAATCGCATGTTCGACGTGAGATCCTCGAGCGCGAGACGGTAGTCCTCGGCCACTTCATCCGATTCTGTAGACATTATGGCGGAAGTATCTGTGCGTGGAGGTTCTGTCTGAGTGGAGCGAACCAGGTGTGTAGAGCTGGAATTTTAGGCAATTGTGTAAAGGCTGCAGACGCAGCTATCGCGAAACGAATGCAAATGCAACTATCCCGGAGCTTGGGATGGTTAATGTCCCCCCAGGGATGATTTACTCCCGAGGCGATGCGACGCTTGCTGAAAGGGCAGTGTTTGTGAAGGAAGGAACAAAAGCTTGCGTGGCAAACCAATGCGCTCCAGCAGCAAAATCACAGCAATATAAGTATTGCCTTTTGGCTGATACGACAATAGAAAAACAGTTCAAATGGGCCTAGTATTCTATGATATGCAGACACAACAGCGGCCCAGTGCAACGTTTGCACAAGCTCGGCGTGACGACCTGCGGGAGCGAGACGCCTCGTCTCGGACCATGCACAGAGGTACCTAGGCGCGCGGGCGTCCCAGACCTTGGTCCGAAAATAAATAGGTATTTAGAATCGACTCTGTTTCATTGGGTTCGATGGTTCGGCACAGGTTGAGTTGTCGAGGTGATGATGGCGATGAGGAGAAACTGGAGCCTGGTCGCGGCCGCAGGTTCCTTACCAGTAGGTGCCATTAGCTTGGGCAATGGATCACGTGCAGCTTCATTTATGTGAGTGTTCCACTTTCACAGGCTGGCCCTGGGCTTGTCCTGTCTACAACCAGCCTACCTAGAAAAGCCATGTCAGAGTTTACGCTTGTTAATAGACATGCGCTTTCGATCCGCCGCTTTTGGCGTAATACAAACGGCAAAGTTCTGACCTCGGCATTTACAGCAGATGCATCACGGAGGATCGGCAAACTCGAGTGTGTTTTGTCTTTTCGACTTCAATCTTGTTGCTGCTTGCTATTCAATATATATCCATCCATTCTCAGCACCAATCCTTCACCTTGATCAGCCAGAAAACAAAGCATACGCGTTAACACATAACCCCGCGATGGTATATCGAACCCGGACTGATACAGAATGACTGATCAACTCCAAAAACGCCCATAAATTCACAGACCAGCTGTGTTAATGTCGAGGGAGGTGATCAACGACGGAGTATTGGCTGCTAGCTCGGTTGCCGTGCATCGGGTGAAAAGACGCGTCAGGTTCCTTGAGGCCGTCGACAATAGGGCTGGTTGCACCAGTCTGGACGTTCTTTTGTGCAGTTGGGTATGGGGCGCTGATGGCGGGCCTCCCGGGGGGCTGGGTTTCGGCATTCTTGGAGCGGCGCCCAAAGATCTTGCCCATGAACTTGTTCTTGGTCTTTTCGTTGTGGACGGATGAGGCTGCGCTGGCGCTGTAGCTGGGAAGCGTGGCACCATCAGCGGCAAGTGAACCGCGGGAGCGGACGTCACGCGAAGTGATGCCCTGCTTGGCATCCCGCCAGACGAGGGCGCAGATGATGTTGAAGGTGCCAAAGATGATGCAAAGAATGCCCGAGGAGAGGACCAGCTTGGAAAAGTGGCCAGCAAAAGCATCAGTGTCATAGCCCTGCTGGTTGAGCGACCCCAGGATGTGGCAGCCGATAATGATGATGATGCCACCCATCCAGCCAAGCCCGTGAGAGTCGGACAGAACTGGCCATGACTCGCGGTAGAAGTTGCGGACGAATTTGATGACGGGGAACTCGGCGATAATGAGGAACAGACAGCCGATAGAGGTGAAAAAGAGGGAAAGGCACTGGAATACGAAGAAGGACTTGTACTTGTCCACCTGGATGATGAGAACCCAACATCCAGCAAAAGAAGCGACGAGGGTGATGACGGTACCAACGCGCAGGCCTTGGAGCACAAAATACCCAGCCCCATGGAGGGATCCGAGGCTCAGCTTTCCGCGCAGCATGGTGGCGATTATGTTTGGGAAGACGTAGCGTGTGTCTGTATTATGTTACTATACAGGCTGGAGCTTGGTTGTAGTCGGAGAGTGGTTGGAAGAGATGATTCTGCAGTATTGTAAGCACACGGTCGGTTGGAGAAAGTGCGAGAAGAGGGATGGGAGCTGCGTACATTTTGTAAGTGTATGACTGTGAAGCAAAGGGGCGTCTGGCCAGCAGAGTGAATGAGCGTGTGTAGAAGGGGATCCGGGTGGTGTAACTGAAGGAAGGAGAGAGTATGGGTGTCGGGGCTAGCCCAGCGGTAGTTGTAAGAAGAAGAGAAGTCAAGAAAATAAAGAAGAAAGAAAAATGTGGAATTCAAAGATTATGATGAGTAGACGCGAGCAGATCGCATTGTGTTTGAACGACAATAGCAAAAATGAAACTGGGGAACAAGTGAGGGAGGGACAATAGGGCAACAGACAGCTTTAATAACCGTGAATAGGTGAGAGCGTTTGGCGCTCTGGGCTACGTCGCACCCCGAGCTGAACGCGCTGCGCCCCTCGGAACTTGTCACTGGATCGAAATCAAGAGAATACCAGAATGGCATCATGGTCGGTCAAGACTCTATTTTCAGCATGATGCCTACCTGGCTGGTTGGGCTCAGCGCTGGCCGGGCCGTCCAGGGCCAGCAGCGCGGAGGCAACTCCACCATGCAAGAGTTGGTAGAGCAGGTTGTTGAGAACATGGCATCCAATCGGCCAGTCGAGAAGCCAGGGCTTACGGAGGCATCAGAGGAGAAGCAGTGGTGGAAAACCATGGCGGACATGTTTCATGGCCAGCGCGTTGGGCCAGTGGGTTGTGGGATGCGGGATGGTGTGCAGGGGGCTGTGGTTCATGACGGGAGCCCTTGGAGGGCAAGATTATTCGGAAACGATGACCCGCTGCACCAAATCCCCCCCAACCCGTCTATCATGAAAGACTGGAACACTCGGAAGGAACTTGAGTGACGTGAAAGCATCCCAAGATGGAAGCGCTAACACTGAATGATTGGCTGATGGGGGCCGACAGCCAGTTTCAGGGACTTGGCGGCAAGTCAAACGCTTGGCCCACTCACTGTTGATGCCCTGCGACTGCCCGCTGTGGAAAAAGATATTGATTACAGTATGGCTGCTGTATCATTGTCACATTTTTTTTGACCGAAAATTCATGTAGAGCTTGAGATCCTATTTTTGGTAGCACTCCCAGGGACCAGTCCCGCGTCCGTCACTCTGTGTTAGCCGCTGTCACTAGCGGGATGATAGCATCGCCTAGCGCCCCCAAGTCCCCCAAGATCACGGGCGACAAATTACACGTAGTACACGTCAATGAACTCTCATCTCAATGAAGAATTTACTCGCCGGAGCTGTTTAGATTGTTCCAAAGTGCCCTTAGAGCAACTCAAAACACCAGTCATACACGGTCTTTCAGCAACTAGCTACAAAGCGGCGCCAAGAACCCAACTCAGAGAGGGTGGCCTCTCGCGCCAGCCACTCAGTTGTCGCTGACCTTGTCGGATATATTGTTCTTGCATGTTTACCGCTGAAGTGCTTCCTAACAACACTTGCAACATTTGCATCGTCAAAGTGTTTGCTCCAGTTCATATTTGCGCTATTCGTCGCGCCCTTAATGTTCATGGCGAGTATCTGAAGCACTGCCTTATACCACAAACGTTACCAACGGAGAAGATCGTCAACTTGATGCGTTCTGAGCAGTCACAAATGCTACAGAGGATTTAGCAGAACAAGGGCCCTGAACCCTGAATTGATTCGGCACAGAACTGATCGTTGGAGGAAGCACCTACCTCAGACCGCTTTTGTAGTTGCTGATTGGTATTGGTCACATATTTGGTAGACTAATAAATTTGAATATCGCTTCTAATTCTAGTTTCAATAGTTTGCATAAAGTGTTTTTCTCTATAAATCCCCGAATTAGGAATATCTCGACCTGAGTCGATGGTAGGCGCGAATACTCTCCAACATGTGCACCCGACCACTGTGGTGAGTGCTTCAGCGGCAGTAACCAAAAGCCTGCACCTCAATGTGTGTCAAAGATTGCCAAAAAAAGATGCAGATGAAATAAAATTACAAGACCTTGAATACCTAGGTAGGTTATGACTCAAGTTGCAACGAGGCAGGCAAACAAGCATGCTTCGTCAGCGGTTAGACCCCTCGCAGGCGCCCTCACACGGTGAGCGTTGAGCGTCCCACCCATCTAAAAATGCCCTCAGCGACGACTGGCTCGTGGGCCGGAAAGCTGAGCCTCGTTTTTTTTTTTTCTCCCTCGTCCCTCGTCCCTCTTCCCTCTACCATCCGCGCAGCTGACCCTTCTCTATCCATCCCCTCCGGACAACTCGATACCATGGCTCGCGGAAACCAGAGAGACAAGGCTCGTGAGGCCAACCAGAAGAAGCTGGCCGGCCAGGTGCGTCGTATTTCCATCCTCCGCGCTGCTGGTCACCTCGGGTGCAATGCCCCGCCACCGCACCTGCACTCGCCTATCCAGACGCTTCGCGGGACTAACTTGGGCTTTTCTTTCCGGATAACAGAAAAAGGGCACCAACATGAGCGGCTCCGAGATGCAGCGCAGCAAGGAGACCGCCGCCGAGATCATGCGCGCCAAGCAGCTCGCCGGTACGAGCCAACCCCATCTGCCACTGCCGTGAAATTCATTCGCTAATATGGACTTGTCGATGGTAGCCGAGGCGAAAAAGGCAGAAGCCGCCAAGAAATAAGACGAATACCTCCCGAAAGGAAATAGTCCGCTGAGACGACGGATTCCACCACGATCGACACATTCGCGAGCGACACTGCTTCCGACGCTTGACATTTCCCTCCCGGCGTATACACTGAGGTGCGGTGTTTTGGCGCCTGGAACATCAAAACAGCCTAGCGATATGGTTCATCTATCTGATTTTTTTTGTCTTTTCCTCTAATGTCAATAGATTGTTTCCTTCTGTCAATGCGAGCTTCCATTATTCACTTCCCTTTGACTACCATAACTCTTACAGTACTGGAGAACCTCAGCAAACACAACGCGCGCACAAACGACGATCTACAACATCAAAAGTATAGGCAGGCTGCACGTGAGAGTTGCTCCATTATTTTTCCCCATCCAAGGATACGTGCCAGCCATATATATACCATCATCAACATACAAAGAGAAAAAGGGAAATCAAATCATGCCTCTCTGAGAAGACCGGTACATGAAAAAAAGAAAAAAGCCAACGAGATATACTAGGGACCATCTATCATCCAAGTTCACATCAACGACTCCAAACCCGACTCCAACGGCATTTCTTAGCGCAGGGCAGCCATGTTGGTCGGCAGAGAACCTGGCTGGCTGTTAGCAGTTACTCGCATCAAGCATCAGGGAAGATGATGTACTCACCAGCAAATCCACCAAAGGCACCAGCACCCTGGGCGGCGGCAGGGAAGCCGCCGGCGTTGCAAGCAACGACACAGGTGCAGCTGCCATCGGCACCGACAGTTCCCTTACCGGGCGTGGCGCCACCAGCACCGCTCTCGGCACCAGCCGATGGAAGCGGCGTCAACTCAGTGGTGGGAGACTCCTTGGGCTGCTCCGCGTTTGCGGGCTCCTTGGGCGGTTCAATAGCGTTGCCACCCTCCTTGGCCGGCTCGGTAGCGTTGCCGCCCTCCTTGGGTGGCTCAACGCTGCCGCCCTCCTTGGGTGGCTCAGCAGCGCTGCCGCCCTCCTTGGGCGCCGCACTCTCCTTGGGTGGCTCAGCAGCGTTGCCGCCCTCCTTGGGCGCCGCACTCTCCTTGGGTGCCTCGGCAGCAGGAGGGGCAGGAGCAGCAGGCGCAGCACCAGGCTTGCCGGTACCGCCAGTGATGGGCGTAGCTTCGCCGGTGCCGTTCTGCGCAATGGCCAGAGATTGGAACATGGCCTGCGTCTTATCCGCGGTAGGGTTGATGGAGAAGACCATGCCCTTGCCGCAGTGACCCTTCTGCTTGCAGTAGAACCCTGTATTTGCGTTAGCACAGCTGGATACGACTAGTGGTGACTTGTGTTTCTGCGTCGGGACTTACACAGCGGAGTGGTGGCCATGACCTGCATCGCGACCTGGGGAGGAGGCGAGACGGTGTTGTTGGGGTTGGCCAGGAAGCCAGAGTCCATGCCGCCCTCCATGGCCTTGCAGGGTGTTTTGAACGGCGACTGGGTGACGGTGTGGTTCTGGGAGAGGAACTCAAAGACGACCGAGTCACCGACGGGCACGTTGAGCTGGTCGGGCTGGAAGGTGAGGCCGCCCGGGCCGCCGACCTTGACGGTATGGCTGGCGCCGGTGGCGGGGACGGTGGCCGTCTTGCCCTCCTTGATGGTCGTCGTGGCACCACCTGCGACGGGGACGGCGGTGGCCTCGCCGGCGCCGGCGGTGATGGTCTTGGTGACGGTGACGGGCTTGTTGATGGTGGTGGTCTCGGCGTTGTTGCCCGGGTTGGCCCAGATGATGACGATGTCGTTGCGCGCGTTGAGGTTCAGGCCAAAACCGCTCATGCCGTTGATGATGGCAATGGAGCGTCCACGGAGCAGGCTTTCGGTCTCGGCCCGCGGGTTAAGGCTGACGGGGTGGGCGCTGCGCAGTCTGTTGCTGGCGGCCATGGTGCCAAGAGGCGCGACGGCGAGAGCCATGGTTGTCGACCACTTCATGATGGGCTGTGCGTTGATGTTTTTCTTTTTCGCTGTGTGTTTTTTTTTGTTCCTCTCAGAGGATTGAAAAGGATACGGACGTAGAGTGCTGATTATTAGTTGTTTTGTTGAGTACCTGCTCGTGTAAGTTGGAAAAACGAAAGGATGGATGAAGAGTGCAACTCTCAAGAACAGGACAAAAAGGAAGGAGAAAAGGGGGAAAAAAGGCAAAGGGGGTGCCGACGAAGAAGAAGAGAATGAAATTGTCAGACGAAGAAGGAAGAGAAGGGGAACTGGGCGGGAGGTAATGGGAAACGGGATGCATTATAACTAGGTAGTCTCGACATGATCTGTCGCAGAGCCCAAACGACGGGTGCCGCTACTCCTTGCGCTCACAGGGTCGTCCCATCTCCGGCAAGAAAAAAACTAAATTACAGTACAAGAGGAACAAGAGATAGGGAACGGGGCGGGATGTGGCCGTTTCCTACCCCGACCTGGGCTCTCCTAGTCGGTTTCTGCGCCTGCAGGTCGGGCTCCTGGCGATCCGATCCTGTACAGCTTCTACCCGGCGCCCTATTGGGTGTGACTTTTCTTCTGTGCTAGGAGAGATGGGGCGCGCCACCGTATAATGCCTTTGCAGGTTTGCAGCAAACTCTTTCCAAGATGATTCCGGGGTGCATTGGTGGCTGGCCGGGGGGAGGGGGGCTGGACAAGACTGTAACCAGGAGTTGTCTCGAGTTGCGTCTGGCACTTGTCTCGAGGGGGCTTGGAGACTGCCTATTCGGGCAATGCGTCAAACGAGAGCCTCAGAATGCCCCTCGACATGTCGAAGTGTAAATGACGAGAGGAAAAATGAAAGCGTAATTTCGTTGCATCTCAATACCAAGTAGAAAGAAGAAAGAAAATTATTACAGTGTTAAAGATGGTTGCGAGGATAGACGACTGTCGTCTAATGAATGTGCTCTCATGTCCACTCCACCACCACCCACACAATAAGCTTGCATGGGCCTTGATCTGAATTATCGCAAGGCTGGCCGCCACATTTTTATTTTCCGTCTTCTTCATCGGACCAAACTCGAAATTTTCAAGCCATGACAAGAGCCTTTCGGTGCCCGATACGGACCCAGCACAATCCCCCCCCTGCAGAGAGCCAACACTCGTCAAGTCAAGCTAGGGTCGCCGCCTCAAACCACCAGTGAAGGAGGATTCTGAAACGCCACGGTGCTTGGAGAAGCAACAAGCGTCGACGACGACGGCGGCGCTCTGGAGCCTCCCTGAGGGGGCATCAAACAGGTACAGACTTGGCCCTGCGCAGCCGTTCTTGACAGAAGACAGGTTGATGAAGGAACGCTCGAGGCTGTGCTGGTCTTGGCTGCGCTGGTCTTGGTCTTGGCTGTGCTGGTCTTGGCTGCCACGCGGGTGACTGAACAAAAGCCACATCTACATACTAGCCAAGGGTTCTGATAGAGTGATACTACGTACTGACGAGGCCAAGGTGAGTGGATGACGTAAAAAAAAAGACAAAGAGGGCAAGTGAATTAAATTTGGGGACATGTCTTTACTACGGAGCCGTAGAACGAACGAGACCATAGCATGGTAGGTTAGCTACGTGTTGGTGACGGTGAACATGCTGTTTGTTATTCGTTTGACGTCTCTTATCAGAATTGAATAAAGAGTTCATCGTAGATATTAATAAACTTGAACAAGATGCCGAAGGAATTGCTTGTAGCGACTTGACGAACTGCCTAGTTCCCATCCAGCTATTGCAAATCCATCCAACATGCCGTGTAAGCCGGCAGCACCAAATCGATCTTCGCAGTTTGTTTCGCCCACGTTTAGTACTTTCCTGTCGCAGGCGAATCTGCCTTACAAATTCACCAGCTCAGCGTTCACAAACACCCAGCCATGCTCTATCCAGCAGTCGTCGTCCATGAAACGTTGCCAATCCATCTCGGCATGGCCTGACCAACGGGTATGCCTTTCCGCAGTGCTGTGCCGGCGCAAGCTACAGTCCTCCCCCCTCCCACATCATCCATGCATTGGTGTAATTTGCCATGCAACTTGGCTTGCACCGTAGGCAGACCGGATGTCGGCATCTCCTGGCCGTGTTCAATCCAACCTGTTGCAGAAATACGGGCAGGCCGGCGGCGGTTGCGGTGGTGTGCTGTCTCCTGCGACAGACCATGTGGCAGAGTTGTGCGCCACAATATGCCAAGCAGCCAGAGACATGGAAAAGAACCGCCAGTTCCCAGCATCGTTTATATCCCCCGTCATCTCATTTGCCCGGTACTGGGCAGCTCATCCATAAATTATCGGATCATTGAGGCTGCTGCTGCGCTTGTTGCTGCCCCTCATGCAGTCCCGTGTAGTATCCTGCATAATACCAGGACATTAATAGCTTCTTGAGATTCTCGTCTCTCACTGCCAAAAATAAACGCGTCAGCACGTGGAATCAACCCATAATTGTGGGCGACACCCACGGAACGACGACTTACCGGTTCCCAGCACCGCTTGTGGAGGTGGCAGGTTGGCAGCCACACTGGCGGCCTCAGACTTGATGCCATCTGATTTCCGCTCGTGTGAGTTGTCCTGGAGTAATGTTTTGTCTGCTTCCATCTTAACCTCATCAGAGTCCGGGGCTGCTTCCGCCTCGGTTTCTTTCCTAATTCCCGTTAGCGAGCGACTCAGAGAAAGGCAGCAACGGTCACAAACTTTGAAGACGACAGGGCTTTCAGCTCTTTTATTGTGCCGCCGTTAGCATATATGCTGTGGTATTTCTTCAGCAAGTATCAGCATCAAGTCTCTTGGGTATTCCATGACGTAGCGTACCTTGTATTCGTCTAGGGCCTCGTTCCAGGAGTCAACGAGCACAGAATCGTCCCACATCTCATCGTCGTTGAGATTTAAGTTGTGGCTAGCCATTTTGTGTCTTTTGAGGATATGTACTTGGAGTGAAAACCACGTTTCCGGGGGCGGCCTGGCGTGCAAACAATACTCTGTTACCGTGTTGCTATTTGCTCTTGCAAGACTGTCCTCCAGGCGTGAAGCTGGTGGGGATCCTCCCGCTGGAGGGACCCCTAAAGGCGGCTGGATGCCCCCACTACCAGCCTCGCAGCACCAAATTCCTTAGCGGGCAGCTGTTTCACCGCCCGAAATTTGACTGGCAGAAACCTGTTTTTTTCCTAGACCAGATGCCCACCTGCTGTAGGACCTTGATTCTTGGTACGAGACGACATACATCGCCAAACAGATAAAATGGCCCCCGAATTGAGGAAAAGAAAAGGTATGTAGAAAATCGCTTCCTACACCGCGATTCGGCCTCTAACATTTTACAGCTGCTGCTGAGCCCGCCAAGCCAGCTCCCAAGGCCGAGAAGCCTGCGACGAAGGGCAAGCGCAAGGGTAAATTTTTCCTGTTTTCTCCGAACGCTCGACAATCGTCTAACAATTCACTCAAACAGCTGCCGAAGAAGCTTCTCCTGCTTCCGCAAAGAAGTCCAAGCCTGTCAAGGCTACGCCCGCGCCCAAGCCTGCTCTGAAGAAGACCACGAAAGCCAAGGAAGAGGCGCCCAAAACGAACGGCAAGAAGAAGGCTTCTGCGCCAGTAGAGGAGCCCGCCGAAGAGCCCGCCCAGGTCGAAAACGACGACGAAGAGAACGAGGATGCGCTCGTTCTCGCCACCGAGCTAGACTCAGGCGACGAGGAGGAGACCGACGGCGTGACGCTCTTCGAAGAGGGCCAGGACGTCGGCAAGATCCCCAGCGTCTCCAAGGCCGTCCGCGAGGCCGCCAGCAAGGCACCTAGCGGCGAGACCGGTGTCATCTACGTTGGCCGCATCCCTCACGGTTTCTACGAGCACGAGATGCGCCTGTACTTTTCGCAGTTTGGCGCAATTACCCGCCTCCGACTATCGCGCAACAAGAAGACGGGCGCCAGCAAGCACTTTGCCTTTGTCGAATTTGACGAAAAGAGCACCGCCGAGGTCGTCGCCAAGACTATGGACAACTACCTGCTGTTTGGCCACATCCTCAAATGTCAGGTCGTGCCCAAGGAGCGCATCCACGAGGAGCTCTTCAAGGGCGCCAACCGCCGCTTCAAACAGGTGCCGTGGAACAAGATGGAGGGTAAGAAGCTGGAGAAGCCTCGCGCCGAGTCCGCGTGGGGACTCAAGGTCGAGCGCGAGACGAAGAAGCGCGCCGACAAGGCTGCCAAGCTCAAGGCCCTGGGATACGAGTTTGAGGGTCCCGAGATCAAGGCCGTACCTGCGCCTGGCGCTCCCGTCCCTGCGGAGAAGGGCAATGCCACCGAGACTGAGGCTGTCGAGGCGGCTCCCGTTGAGGACTCCAAGGCTGAGGAGCCCGAGGTGGAGGAAGCCAAGGTGGAAAAGCCCAAGGCCAAGTCTCCCAAGGTGACAAAAGCCAAGGGCGGCAAGGCCAAGAAGGCCAAGGCCTAAGTCATGCATATGTCTCTTTTGTTCTTTCATGTCTTCTACAAAATCTGGCGAGTTCTGGCGCACATGTCTTGATGGTTTGATTTTAAAAGCGTAATGGCATATACGTGTTGAATACGAATTTCCATCATCGTTCTTCCCAATGGAATGACACCGTGAAGAATGCTTGTCGAGTAGCACAATGTGCAGAGGCATGTACGCACATAAGCGAACCCGCGGCACCCATGTTCACGCGCCCAAAAGGACGCAATGGGGCAAGCAGCAGGATTATGAAAGGCAGACTAATCTACTTCGCGCAAAATTGTGAACAAGCCACGGAAATGCGATGAGCTTGTTTATGCGTATGATGGCGAAGGGTAAAATATGTATGAAGAGAAGAGAGGAAGAAGAAGGAAGGAAATTTTGCTGGGTCGCAGATAGGAATGCTGGAGCGGCGCTGACTAAGGTGTTTTTAGGTGCCATGTGAAAAATGGACACAAATACAAAGTACAAGCTTCACACTCTATCAAAAAGATGAGTAAATAAATAGAAGAAATAGAACTAATAGCATAGAAAAAAGCATAGAAAAAACGCAGTAAAAATAAGGCAGATATTAGTATAGATAGCGAATGGTCTATTCTGTCATCTTAGGTGCTTAAGCTGAAAGTCAAGCCTGTGTAATTTGGCAACTAATACGCAGGATCTAGATTCAATTGTCCTGCGCAATTCCCTCAGCTACAAGGCGCCGCAAGACCCTGATCACCCAGCCTTGACAGATTTCCCGTAACAGAAGCCTGATTTGGCTGGGAGTGACAGCTCTGCTTTTGGCGGGCTGAGAAAAGGAGGCTGACTTCGACTTATCGATGTCTGTATGTATATATACATATGGATTCTACAGAGTACAGAGTAAACCACCCTTTTATCATCCATCCGAAGTTGCTAGAGCTCTCCCAGAAACTCACACACAATCCCAATCCGTCTCAGCTTCTTGAACTAATAACAAAACAAGGCTTTTTATAGCCCACAGCTCGGTGTGGGTGAGGAACTAGTGGCGTCCAAGAATACGAGAACAAGTCAGCTGTCATTCGATAGGGCTTACATCTACTGAATAATTGTTAAATAAAAGCTAGCGGCCTACTAATGGGTTGAATTATTGTACGATTGGGTGAAATTCAAGTGTGTAATCTGGAAACCAGTGCAGCTGCCATCGGAACTGTACCTAGCAAACGTTTGTTTCGCGGGGCTGCAACACCGATAGTGGAACACAGCGCCAGGTCTCAGACAAAGCCGCGCTGAGCTGACGTGTTGAACACTTGACACTTGGTCTCTGCCCACCAATGCACCATCGCGCGCCGCTCTGTCGCGTCAACTTGCAAGACACCGATCTCAACTGCCGCCTCGATATCGCAGCATAACCCATCGCATATTACTGGGGATCCCCGGCGCAATGTCCTCTGCAGCGGCTGCCGATGCCACGCAAGCGCCCAATCTAGGTTAGCTACTACCTCGACCTTGTGAAGCTCGAGGGCAGCAAGATGCGCTGTCGGTGGGGATTGAAGCTAACAATACGACTTCGATAATGCGAATACAGCGGGCTCAAAGAAGAAGAATAGCAAGAAGAAGAAGAATGCCAACAAAAACAAGGACAACGCCCCTGCCGACAATGGCAAACCGCAAATCGACCCCGAAAACGACGGCGACGAAAATGACGACGACGAACACGAGCAGTCCAATGACGAGCCCCCCAACAAAGCGTTGAATGGGCATGCCACAGATACCCCTAATAATAGCGATGCTACCAGCGATGCCAAGGATCAAGGGGCCCTCCAAGCAGAGGTTGAGCAATTGCGCAAACAGCTAGAAACAATACAACAGACACACAACACCGAAATCGAACGACTACAAACCGAGCTAGAGGAAAGCAACACTGCTAAAGAGACAGCGGAGGAGCAATATCAGACTCTACTGGAGCGTGTAGAAAAGATCAAAGAAACGCTGAGCGACAGGCTACGGCGCGACAAGGCAGAACTGGACGAGGCCAAAGAGCGAATAGAGGATCTCGAAACACAAAATGAGCAACTCGAAAACTCGGCGAGCTCCTCTGGCAAGGACCACCAGAAGCTCCTCCAAGAGCTCCAAGACGCCAACCGCGAGCTGACAACGCTGCGCAGCCGCAGCAACCTGTCGACGCAAAACTGGAACAAGGAGCGGGAGGACCTGACGCGCGCAGTGCAGCGCCTCAAGGAGGAGATGGGGACGACGGCCAACGCCATGGGCGAGTGGGAGGTTATCGCCATGGAGGAGCGCTCCGTCAAGGAGAGCCTGGGCGACAAGATTGCCGAGCTCGAGGAGCAAATCGCCTCGCTCCGGCAGGGGTACGAGAGCGCGGCCAACGAGCGCGACAGCCAGTCGACGCTGATTGACAACCTGCAGAACGCGCTGCGCGAGATCCAGGACGCGCGCAAAAGGGAGCTGCGCGACATGGTCGAGAGCACCGAGGCACAGCTGCAGGCCCAGAAGAAGCTCGCAGCCGAGGCCGAGGCGCGCGCCACCGAGGCCCAGGACGCCAAGGATGCGCTGATCAAGGAGGTGGAACGGACAGCGCCCTTTGAGAAGGAGGTCAAGGAGAAGAACCTCCTCATTGGCAAGCTCAGACACGAGGCCATTATTCTCAACGACCACCTAACAAAGGCTTTGCGCTACTTGAAAAAGACCAAGCCCGAGGAGAATGTTGACAGGTATGGCACCACCATATTCCCCAGCAACCACGGCCTGCATATACTAACCATTTCGTAGACAAGTCGTCACCAACCACCTGTTGCACTTCCTCACGCTCGACCGCGGCGACGTGAAGCGCTTCCAGGTCCTACAGATCATGGCGGGCTACCTCGACTGGACCGACGAGCAGCGGGAGCAGGCTGGCCTGTCCCGCCCCGGTGGCTCCGGCGGCTCGCTGCGCCTCCCCGTGTCGCCGTTCCATCGCACGCCGAGCTCGCCGTCGCTGCACAATGACCTGCTCTCGGAGCCCACCTCGGCCAAAGACAGGGAGTCGCTAGCCGAGCTCTGGGCCGGCTTCCTGGAGCGTAGCGCCAAGGAGGGCCTGCCCGACGGCGGCGACGCCACGTCGCGCAAGACGAGCGTCAGCAGCGTGGCGACGGGGACGACGGAAAAGAAATTATGAGGGGGTCACTGCATCCGGATGGCCAATCTTGTTGGTTGGGTTTTGTTTATTCTTACTTTGTTCTTCATCATCTATTTTATACCTTTTTATCTTGATAGCATGCTGCCAGACGGCGCACAACTAGACGCAAAATATGACGGAATTATGAAGATTTTGTAGCACCAATCTCGCTGGTATTTGGTATACTAAATCAATTTCAGATTAAAGGTGGATAGGGTGTATGGGGGTGTATTAAAGCAGCGCTAAATGATTTCTATGCTTGTTAAAATTCTTGCATAACCAGAGCGGTATATGAATCTGCGTCACGGGTGATATGTTGGATATTCAGCCTGTTCTCTAGCGCGTCAGAGACGCCCTCGATGACCTCACGCTCCTCCATGGCCTCGGACACGAGGCGGACCTCGTGGCTCCAGTAGGCGTCGCTGCGCTGGCGCAGTTCCGTGTCGCGCTGGGTCGTATTCTTGATGATGCCGAGGGCGCTCATCTTGCTCTTGGCGACGTGCAGCGCGCGGTTCACATTCTCGACGCGCTCAGCGGGGGTCGGCATCTGGATAAAGGCGCGGTTCGTGGCGGAGAGGTAGATGGCGTAGCCGAGGACGGCGTCGAAGACGGCGAGGGCCCAGAGGCGGGTGGCGCGGGCGCCCCAGTAAAAGGCATCGACGTCGGCGAGGCGCAGGGCGCGGGCGTTGGCCTGGTAGTTGTAGTTGCTGAGGAACCAGATGTCGATGGCGGCCATGCCGCCGGCGACAATGGCGGCCCAGGTGCGCCACTGGCGGCCGTAGCGGCCGGTCCACGAGGGGCTGGTGACGAGGGCGACGGCGAAGAAATTGGCGAGGTGCACCCAGAGCAGCCCGGGCACGGCATAGTACAGGTAGCTCTTGGGCTCCTCGGCGGTGCAGAACGGGCAGCCGGCGAGCACGCCCGGGCCAAACTGCATGTACAGCAGCCGGCTCTCGAGGTTGACAAACTTGCCGCGGAGGACCTCGTCGGCGGGCGTGAGCGGCCGCAAGCCGGCGAGGCGGTGGAACAGCACGTCGACCGGGATCTGCAGCCGGCTGGCGGTGCGCGCAAACATGTTCTCGGGCACGAGCGGCGGCAGCAGCGTCTGCAGGGCGAGCACGGCGGCGGCGACGGCGAGCAGGACGAGGGCGTAGCGGATGGCGCGTGGCACGGGGCGCACCGTCAGGCCAGCCGACTGGGAGGCGGTCTTGCTGGCGCGGTAGTAGGCGATGGCGCGGGGGATGGCAATGGGGCCGAGGAAGAGGAGGAGAGACTTGATCCTGCGTGTTGGGGTGCGTGTCAGCTGGGTCGTGGACATGTGGTGGTGGGTGAACATGGAAGGATCAAACGTACGTCGACCAGGGAATAGCCATGGTGGGCAGACTGGCGCGTCAGTTGCGCGCAGCTTGTATTTGGGGTTCTTTAGCGGTGGCAAAAATGAAGTGACGAGCCCTCTCTGCTTGTTGCCGCAAATAGCAGTGTGTTGAAGAGAAATGTGGTATTTTGTGCGAGTTGTAAGCTGCAGGTTGAAAAGATGTGATGTCGCCAAGTGACCAGGTGGCGTTACTATTAGCGCCAGGCACAAGAAACCACCCCCACCATGAAACAAAGGGAATGAAGTAAGTAGTGTTAGAAGTAGCACAAACATGGTGTATTTGAGTAATTATTAGGTACTTAGGGTTTGTATAGGTATTAGAGAGCATCGGGAACACAAAATTAAGAAACAGCTCTGAGCCATACTACAAAGTGGGCAGACTCGTTGTACGTGAAGAGGTGTTCGAAGAGGAAATAAAAAAATGCAAATTAATTCAGAGCAGACGGCGAAAAGCAACAAAGCATGGATGATGTTACGCCTACCATCTCGGCTCTATGATGACAGTAATAAATGCAACTTTCTCCTATAAATAGATTATTCCAATTCAAGCGCTCCGTCCCGTTGTCTTGTCCGTCCTCCCGTACTCCTTTGATGACCATTGAAACAAAATTCCAACAAGCCAATCAAGATGATCCATATTCGGCTGGCAACGAGCTAGCCGCCTTGCCCCTCCAACGATCGGCATTCCCAGCATTCTCATAATTAGGAGGTAGAAGCTCAGATTCCAACAGAATTGGAGAGTCAATCGGAGTCGAAGTTGACTGATGCACAAGGATGACGAATTCGATTTAAGAAAAACATGACGCATCCTGAAACTTTTCCCGTTCAACTGCGACATGGGCATCACATGTGTCAATCAATCACCGTTCGGACGACGCTCGGATCGGCCCACCACATGTGTCTGTCATGTCTGGGGCCGCCGCCAATGAATACAGTTAATACAGAGCCATCTCCCGAGACAGGCAAACAAGCCAATCGGCTAGTCTCGTCAACAACTGCGAGGTGGCGTTTCCAATAAGTAGACAGCACGGACGTCGTGCGTGCCCTCCAACGCCCTCCCCGTCCTCTCCCCAAATGTGTCCTCTCCCATAGACACACCCTTTTCATCGTTCAACTTACTTTCACCTTTTCTCTCTCCTCCTCTCAAACCCAATTGCAACCATGGCGCCCGACGCTACACCCTTCCTCTCTGGTCGCAAGGTCGTCGTCTGCGGCGCCGGCCTCGCCGGCCTGACCTTTGTGCTGTCCCTCCTGCAGACCTGGGACGCCGCGGTGCCGGCGCCCGAGGTGCTTCTCGTCGACGCCGACGGCCGCGACGAGAGCCTCGCGCGCGGCCGCTACGACCTGCAGCTCAACGCCGACACGGAGGACTCGGCGCTCGTCGGGCTCCGCGACCTCGGCCTCCTCGACGACGTGCTCGCCCAGGCCGTCACGCGCAACAACCCCGACGCCACCATGCACGTCTGGGACAAGGCGTGGAAGTCGCTCGTCACCATCAAGCCCAAGCTCGTCGAGGGCTTCGCCACAGGCGGCGTCCGCATCCCCCGCTCCGCCCTCCTCGCCCTCCTGGTCGCGGCCGTCGAGGCGCGCACCAAAATCAGCTGGGGCACCGCCGTCCAGGACGCCACGCGGCTCCCCGACGGCACCCTGCGCGTGTCGCTGCTCGACAAGACCGCCGGGGGCGCTGCCGCCTCGCAGGTCCTGTGCGACCTGCTCGTGGCCGCCGACGGCGACGAGAGCACCCTGCGCCGCATCTTCCGCCCCGACGACGTCACCAAGCTCACCGGCCACGTCGCCATGGGCGGCCAGGTGGACTTTGGGGACCGCGCGAGCGCCCCGGCGCCGCTGACGCGCGACTTTGGCATCGTCGTCGGCGGCGACGGCGTCGCCTCGGCGCTCGTGCAGCTCAACAACAACGGCAAGCTGCTGTGGTCCGTCTTCAAGGAGGAGAAGACGCCGCGCGCCACGTACGACAACACCGACGCCGCCGCCTTTGCCGCGCTGCTCGACGAGGCCCGCGCCACGTCCAAGAGCATCGCCGAGCCGCTGCCCTCGCTCATCCGCCAGACGAGGCAGGACACGAGCTTCGCGCGCCCGGTGCGCGAGCGCGACGCCTTTGCCCACGACGCCCCCGCCCTGCGCGGCGTCATCTTCCTCGGCGACGCTAATCGCTATGTCAGCGTGTACATGAACAACGGCGGCGCCCTGGCCATCCGCGACGGCATCGGCCTCGCGCAGGAGCTCAAAGCCCACACCTCGCTCGAGGCCGCCACGGCCGCGTACGACAAGGCAGCCCTGGCGCGCAGCACAAAGGCCATCAAGGCCGGCCGGCAGACGATGACCACGGCGCACCTCAGCGGCTGGAAATGGAGCGTGGCCAAGACGGCCTTGTCGGCGGGAAGCTTGCTCACGGGCAACTGATGAGGTTTTACGAGACGGCTGCTGACCCGCGGCACGGCACTAGAACTGGTGGGATAGAATCGGCATGTGGGACGTGGACCAAATATTATAATGCAAATCATTCTCATTAATTCTCTCCATGATGTGTTCAGTCATGTCTTGGGTATATCAGGTAATAATCATACAGTCGGCGCCAACCCAATATTGACGAGTAAATTGGTCATGAAAATATAAATCGGCGTCACAGCATACTCATATCCAGCCAGACGTGCGCAGGATATCCAGAGCCACCTCTTTAACCTCCCTCTGGTCCGTCGGCACACGCCGCGCCCACCCGCCGACCTGGCTCTCCAGCACGCCGGCCATGCGCCGGCTGCTGGCCAGCAGCTGGGGCAGCTCCGAGCCGACCTCGCGCTGCTTCAGGCGTTTCTCGGCCAGCGCGTCCGGGACCTGGAGGATAAAGGCCCTGGTGGTGACGGCTGCGGGGGGCATCATGCGGCCATCCTTGCCGCCGAGCCTCGGGGGCGACGACGACGAGCCGCCGCCACTTGGCGGCGACGGCGGCAGCGCGGGGATGGAGGCGGTGACGCGGCGCAGGGTGCGGGTGATGCGCTCCGTCTCGAGCACGGCGGCGGTGCCCGACACGATCAGGCGGTCGACGCCGCGCAGGTGGTAGTAGTTGGACCACAGCGCGGCCAGGTTGGCGAGGAGCATGTCGGGGCCGCCCTCGGCGGGGAACATGGCGTCGAGATTGTCGCCGTCAATGTGCGCGTGCCGAATCTCGAGCCGCTTCAGCTGCTCCGACATTTCCTGCGCCGTGGACGACTTGCCTGAGCCGGCGCGGCCCGAGACGATGATGAGGTGGACTTGCATGATGCTCGGCGGGGTTGCTGGGTTTTCGCGTCTATATCAATGCATGTGTGTATTTTTTTTTTCGCACTGGGCCGTTTCTTTTTTTTTTTGGTCAAGGTGTTGGGACTTGGTGAGGCGGATATGACGGAAATCCTCTTTTTATATATGGATGCCATGCTTTTTTTTTTGGTTCGGTCGGGGTACCGTAACAGGGCGCGCTCCACGACTGATTTGCTGCAACTCGAGCGCGTGCGTATTGTGCGACCCTTGTGACTCATATGACAAAACATCCTCTGTTCCCCTCCAATGTCTGGAAGTTTGGCGACGCAGACGTGGTGAACCGAAGCCCGTAAATTCGCCCACACGTGCCCGAAGATCCGAGCCGTGTGGTAGCGCTGCGTGATGCGGCAAGTCCAGGGGTCGGATGCGAGCTAACCACCGAATTAATCCCTTCCCCTTTCACGGCTTCGGTGTTGCCTTGCACCGGTGCGGCCGGCATTGTGAGCGCCGATTCGGGTTCTGTCTAGATGCATAGTGTCACCGGAGCTTTTTATGACGTCAATGTCATGCTCTTGCCTGCGACTATTTGACTTTGATCACAGATTGGTTCCGATTGTTGTTATCAATCATGCTGCAGTATTACTTGATAATTCAATTAATCTATTGAGCGAGCCTTGCATGACGAGCGTGGCTTGTGATGCTCAATCCTGGCCAGACATGCACTTACCCGAGGTTTGCGCCGCGATAGCTGCGCATGATCCACACCATACATACATACCTAGGTAGGCGAGTTGAAACTTTTTCTTCCCACATTCATTCCTTCAATCCCGTCCTACAAACAATCCGCTGGTGTCCCAATCACTCACTTTCCTCCGAGACGTGTACCGATTTACCGAACTCTACGACTCAGTTTAGATGCCTTCAATACGAACACTGTTTCCATCCGTCTCCGCCGCCTCTGTCCACCGTGACGCCCTTGTCCACATGGCATCTTCGAAGCTCTAGCGATCTATTTTCCTGTGGTCGCTAGAGTCAATATGTTTGCCTAGATCGACTCCAAATACCCTGCCAAGGGTTAGTCTCTATCGTGTTACAAAGTCGTCCTATAAAATGACTGAACTTTGCGTCAAATTAAGGGAGATACATGTCACCTCAACCCACGTAGTTTTGTCAAAATATTTGATGGATGAATAATTCCTGCCCTCTATATCGTAGTTCATACATTTCCTATGCCATCAAATCTGCGTCAGGGTATCTCTACTGTCCAATTACGCCTTTTTCTCGGTCTTCTTCTCGCTGCGCGCCTCCTCGCCCACCTTTTCGCTAGTTGCCTGGATTGGTGTCTCCTTCCTAGTCTTACTCGCCGTCGCCGTCCGCGAAGATGCAAGCAGCTGGTAGAGGCCGCGCAGCATGTCGCTCACGAGCACAATGACCGTCGTGCAGGCGAGCTGCCACGAAGCGATGCTGACGCTGCCGAGGGGACCACGCGGGAAGGAAATGATCCATTCCGCATAGTAGGGGAACCAGCCATGCGGCAGCCAGAGCATGGGCTCCTTGGCGAACCAAAAGGGCAGGGCGTATTGCGGTGCTCGGGTGACGAGGAATCGGACGGCGCTGAGGTACTTGTCGAAGCCGGCACGTGAGGCTTCCAAGCCCTTCTCTGTAGAACCGAGTTAGAACCGAGTAATGAGCCTGCCGGGAAGGCGTAGCAAATATTCCAACGTACTTTGCCCTTCGAGCTTCTCTAGCAGCTTGTCATGCTGGCGGCGAACCTTGGCCCATTTCGCAAACTGGTCCTGGCTGCTGGTGGTGTTGAGGTCGCGGCGGACTTTGACGTACTCGGCCTGCGTCTTGCGCTGCTCAGCAGCTGCCTTGGCTGTCGGTACGGGCAAGTAGTTGATGGCTGTCCAGATCTACCATTCAGCCCTCTTGTTAGCTTCCGGTCTTTTCTCCCGCCGTCGTTGCATGCCGGTCTGTGGAATCTTACCAGATCATTCAGGACAGTGGCGCCTACAAGGTTGATCACATGGACCACCACTTCCACGGCGAATATCACGAGGAGAAGGGACGGCATCTTTTACTTCGAATGTCCCGCGGACGTCGGGGGAGATAGATGACGGCTGGAAGAGCTGTGGGAAACTGGTTGCGGGCGGTCCTGGTGCTCACGCAACGACAGGTGCAGCGGCGACCACGTACCTCCAACTAGCATAACCCCGACATGGTGCATTTGCTGGCAGTCCCACCCACCACAGCGCCAACGTCGACGTTTACCCTGCAGGCGTTTTTTATATTCAAAGACTCGACTTCATGGCTCATCGAGGCGCCATTTTTGTTGGGCTAGAACATGTCGAGAGCTCTTGATGCAAAAGTCAAGGAGGCCCTGGAAATTGAAGACAATGCGTCTGTCTATCGGTCCGTAGCAGACGTGTTGTGTATACGCCATGACGAGTTGCTCGACATTGAGGTTCTTGGCCCGAGTCACATCCTACCACATGGAACGTACGTCCTGCAAGAAGAGAATGCGGTGGCAATTCCAAAGCTCAACATCTTGCGAGCTTTTTTACCAGCATACAAGATATTCAAAAGACACATTGATTATCAGGATGTCACACCAGATGAGCTCCTACGCGCGACGTCGGTCATGCTGCTACTCGACCCTGAACACATGACGGCTGCCAATGCTCGAAAACGACAGATACAGCAAATAGAACAGGGGAACATGAGACTACTAGACATACGTATAGATGCAGAGTTCTATTTCATCGACAGCTTACTCACCAGTCGTCTACACCGTCATACCAAGTCTCCAACACTCTGGGGTCACAGACAGTGGCTTCTGGAGTTGTGCACCAGCATGCAACGGCCGGTGGACAGCCTCCCGACAGCCTTGGCAAAGCTCATTTTTATCTCCGCGGAGCGACACCCACGCAACTACTACGCCTGGTGCCACGCGCGATACCTGCTCGACCTAGCCAGTCGCCAGAGGCAACACGCCGCCCCCGCCAGAGGCACGCGATGGCCGCCCCAACAAGAACAAGACGCAGCCGCTCTGGAGGCCTTGACAGACGCGGTCAAGACGTGGTGTTTTAGCCACCACGACGACACGTCTGGGTGGTCGTTTCTAACGGTGCTCATCGCGCGACGCCCGCAGGCGGCGGCAATCGCGCTCTTCACCGAGACGCTGGGTCGCGCAGAGGCCTTTTCGTGGAGGGGCGAGTCGGTGTGGTACTTTCTGCGCAACATGCTGCGCGCGGATTGGCTGCCAGACGGGAATTATCGAGCGCAATTTGAGCGGGTGCTCGAGCTGGTGCATGGGAGAGTGGCCGAGCCTGAGCAGTTGGACAGGCAGGTCTTGGGACACATGTTGGAGTGGGTGAAGATGTACGCTGCGTCCAATTGATGGTGAACATCGACGAGGAGTAGAAGAGGCGACGAGTAGTGGCGGGAGATGCTGGAATGTACTGCCCAGGAAACGCAACTACCAGGCGTTGATGAATAGCAAATCTCATGTTCTTGCCTGACCTGTGATTTCAAGAGTGCAAATTCCTGCAGTGCAGTAATGACCGGACCCGCCCATTCCCGAGACCGTTATTTCCTCAGACAACAGATTCTGACTTGAATCATTAATCTGACAGTTGTCTTGTGGCAAGCTAGCATTCCTGCAACGGCAACTATGTCTGAGCAACGACCAAGCATTCCTCCGCCTAATAAGCTGCAAGTCTTTGTAATTTTGGACACCAGAAATAGTAACGTAAATTTGAGTACGAAATGAGGGACTCATTCAAATCCTGCACATGGCCGTGAAATGCTGCTGGCTGCGCGCCGGTGGTCGCGATGCGCCGCGCCGTGAACGACAGTTGATGTTATAACAAACCTTGCGTCATGACCGGAACTTTATAGAAGAGGCCAAGAACTAGTTACAGGAAAAATTCCATCCTCGGGAGTTCTTCAACGAGGGGCCTGCTTCAGTTGGGAAGGCTGAATTGGATTTAGGTTCCATGCACGGAGGACTACGGGGGGCTTTGCTGGACTGTCTTCCTGAGGGCGCGAATCTTCTGGATGAAGAGTTGTTAATCTACGAATACAATATGTTGGCCCCTTGCGTGCAGGTGAAGTGATAGTCTGGGCGCTAACAAAGCCATCCATGTTAAAACCACCAATTGCCAGGGGTGGAGAAATGAAACTTGTACTTTGGTATTTTCCAAGTTTCAAGTTCTGTTTATTTTATTTCCATTGGCGAATACTTACGAGCCGAAATTGGCGACTAGAGACAATACTTGGCAACTAGCTCGTTGGCTGCGGGCTGTTTAGTTAACTACCTAGGGAAAAACAGGGGACTCGCTTGGCCAATCACAAGCTGTATTAAATGCTGAAAGGCGTGAAACGCAGTACAACTACTGCAAAAAGACCATTTGTTGGGAACATATTGCTTGATATTTGCAGATGCCTTTCGGGATAGGTGTAGGTGTTGGCTAAGCTCTCTTGGCAGTTGCTGTACTACGTACATACGAATAGTCGACGCAACGTGGATCTATAGCACACATCAGTGTCTGTTAAGCTTTTTTAGAAACAAGAAGAGGCTTGGGCGGTTCGTATCACCGACAGGGATGACGCTGTTGCACATTGTTGATCTCCAGTGGGCGAACGAGGAACAGTCTGACCAACGACAAAAAGCTCGGCGCATTGGTCCCGCTTCCCCTTGAGGGATACGGATTGATTACGGGGCCACCGGGTGAGGAGAATGACAGGGACCGTATCGGACGAAGAGAGCCACACTGGACACACGAGGGAGAGACGGTGGACGTCCTTATTCCGCGCCGCGCCTTGTGGACGCGTCAGAGCGGTGGGCTGTGCTACTTTATACGATGCTTGGCCGCATTCAAGTCAAAGTTCTTCTTCAACTCAACAAGTCGTTGAATCATGCGACATATATGTACGGATAAGTGTTGTTGTTATTGATACGAGCAGTGGTGGCTAGCATGCATGTCTTACATGGTTAATTTGCAGGTGTGATATTGGTGAAGAAATGTTGCAAGGTTGATTGACGTGCATGAGGGAAAGACAAACGTGTAGCTTTCGGGAAAACTACCCAGTAACAGTCGGGTGAGCGAACCACTCGATCTGCTTGACAATAACTAGTTAAATAAATTTGACAAGGAGCCGGCCGTCCCAACCTTGCTGGTGGCGGCCAAGGGCACGGGGGCTTGCCCACAGTGTCCACCACGGCGTCGTCATTGCGGAGCTTTTGCTGCGGACGAGCATGGAAGCCCCGGACAGATCGATATTTCTAGGTCTTGGATACGCATTGGCGAGCTCTGTTGCTTTTCATGAATGAACTAATTCGTAATTCGTAGTTACAATCACTTCATGATGTGATGCCAGCGTACTTGTTCATTGATGGCGTGCCTGTTGTCAGGCCAGCAGGCTGGAAAGCAGATATATTTTGCATCAGAGACTTGATCTGGCATGCATAATGGACCAGGCCTAGACCAGCAAATTGCATCCGAGGACGCTTAAAAAAAGGGTCATACTGACCACCGATGCCTCTTTCGTGCTGGCGGAAGCGCCGGTCTATTTGGGGTTTGCGTGTCTGTGCTCCTTGGTGGCTTTGGTTTGTTTGTGCTGTCAGGCCTGTCAGCGGCGAGCCGAGACTCGATCTGAGTCTCCGGACGGGACGGAATGGTATATGGGTAACTAGACGGGAGAGACGAGGCTGAGGGCGATGTCTGGCTATAGAATGGCTCAGGGTTGTACATTGTGATCAGTAGGGTGCGATGGACATCGCATGACCTAGTTAACACAGACGACCACGAATCAACAAGGGTATGTCGTAGTGATAAAAACAACGCTCGAGTGCTTGATGCAAGAGGCGTTGGGCGATGTGCCGCTGGCGTGTGATGGACCACTCGTGCGTTGTTGAAGGAGGGCAGGAGAAGGAGGAGAAGGGGGAGCAAAAAGAGCGGGCTGTAGGATCGGCTGGGTGACATTGGCGGTAGGCTGCAGGCTAGTGGTGCACCCTGCTGAGCAGCGAGAAGATTGATGACTTGCAGATGCCTCTCGGGATTGTTGATTTCTCCCTCGAAATCTATTCTTGTCCCTCCTTTCCTTGTCTTATCAAGCTGAGTTGTAATATATATAGCTTTGGCATGATAGAACCTCCATGATGTATTAATCCAAAAGTATCCCGAGGGGCTGGAGGGTGGCCCCCCTGTCTGGCCCGCTTGCTAGCTTCAGGGGGTTGCATGGGGTCTGCCCGGATTCCTTAGCGGCCAACGTGCCCTGTAAACCTTGAAAGCTGCCCACGTTTTCCCAGTTGCCCACTGTAAGCCCACTGTAACAGCACTGGAGCTGAGCCACCCCAGCCTGCTTGCCCGCCACTGCCCAACGCGCCACCAAAAAAAAAACCGAACTCCCTTAACTTAGTAGCCTCGCGACTCGGGAGCTCTCGACCGACCCCATCCACATCTCCCCTCCGACAAGGATTCCCTTATGCCTTTGTTCGCTTCCCGTGCTTCCTCCTACTCACCAGTTCACCAACTAATACCACCTCTAATCCTAACTTCCTCACCATCCTTCTTCCCCCTCCCCTCCCCTTCTTCCCCTCTCTCGCCTCCTCATTCTTCTTCTTTGGTTGTCCTCCTTTAGCATTGTTTTCTTTTTTCTACTGCTTATTATTTAGCCGCCACACGTCTGTAATCTCGACCTCAGAACAACACGCCTGACTTGTGTCTGCTCTGCTCCTTCGATCTCCGCAGCTTTTTTTGTCCAACTTTCTTCATTTGATTTTCTTTCCTGTACATCCTCGTCGTCTCGACCTCGTTACCGCCGATTAATACCCACGCTTCCTGGCAAACCTGTTGCGTGTACTCTGCCATCTATTCTCGAACCGGGCGTATATCCGCTTTCCAAGTCTTCGCCTCGACTCCTCGATCCCGATTCAACCTCGCGACTATTTCTACCATACGATCGATTGCTTCGTCTGCACTCGTTGCTTCCCCACCTAGCAATGAAAGCTCGCTCGAACTGTGTTCTTTCCACATAGTTTCACAGGAGTCTGTTGGCACTACTGTGCGTCCTCAACACTCGACCAACTCTGTTCGCCATCCCAAATCGAACGCCTATTGTGTCTCCCCAACCACATATTCTTCAAAAGCGCCTTTAAATTCCGATTGTGCTCGTGCTCAATCGCGCTCCGAACCAACTCTCCTCCTCAAATTTCCTTGCGTAGGAACACGAATCGCCACTTGCCAGCCGCATCACCATGCAACTGGTCCCATCGCTCCTCTGCCTAGCATTATGGTCTAGTTCAGCACTTGCATTCTACCCATATAGGCCAGCATGGTTAAAATCCAGCTTAGAAAGCGAGGACAAGAGAGCCACTTTGGCAGAGGACTCGGAGGGCCTCGCCTTTGAGATTCACCAACGCCAGGGCCGCGTATGCCTAGCCCTTATCCGAAGCAAGTTCTCAAAGCTAACAATCATATTCCCTAGCCTGTCGTTTCCCAAGAGGCTATACGCCTTGCCGCCAAATACGATAGCCACGCAGCGCTTGCCCGCCGCAAAAATACCTACGCCGTCACCACAGCCACTACCCCCTCCACGAGCGACGCCGCCGGCATTAACCAGGATGGAACCGACTACTCGTACTTTATTCAAGTTAGCATTGGTTCTAAAGGAACCAAGCTCTACATGTTGGTCGATACGGGAGCTGGATCCAGCTGGGTTATGGGCGCCGACTGTTCCAGCGATGCATGCGCCAAGCACAATACCTTTGGCACTGGCCAGTCTGACACCCTCACCATTAGTGACAAGGACTTTTCCGTAGCCTACGGATCCGGAAAGGTCAGCGGGAAGCTTGCCACCGACACCATTTCGGTTGCCGGAATGAGCGTCAAATACCAGATCGGTCTCGCCTCCACCACGTCGACTGAGTTCAAAGACTTTGCTTTTGACGGCATCCTCGGATTGTCCATGGGCAGCGGAGCCAGCGCCAACTTCCTCGCCACCCTAACATCAGCCGCCGCCATTAAGAGCGCCATCTTTAGTGTCGCCCTGAGCCGTGCTGCCGATGGTGGTACGTCTGGTGAAATCAAATTCGGCGGTATAAACTCGGCCAAGTACACTGGTGACATTTCCTACACCTCTCTTGCCTCCAAGAGCGGTGACTGGGCTATCAATCTCGACGACATGTCTTTCGATGGCAAAAAGGCCGGTGTTGGCAAGCTTGCTTACATTGATACTGGCACAACCTATATCTTTGGTCCCCCGAGCGTCACCGACAAGGTCCACGCTGTCATTGACGGCTCCAAGAAGCAGGGCGCCTACTACAGCGTCCCCTGCGACACGACAACGCCCATCACCGTCACCTTTTCTGGTGTTGATTACCAAATCCCCGCCAAGGATTGGGTCGGAGCAAAGGATACCAGCGGTACCTGCTTCAGTAACATCTACGGCCAGGAAGTAGTAAAAGACTCCTGGCTCATCGGTGCCACGTTTCTTAAAAACGTCTATACCGTTTTTGATAAGGATGGTGGCAGAATAGGTAAGCTCCTTACCCCGAATCAGGGAGAGACGGACTAACACTTTGTCAGGATTCGCAAAGACTGCTTCAGGTGACTCGGCCTCTTCTGTGTCTTCTTCTGCTACCCCCTCGGGCTCCTCGTCAGTGTTTTCATCATTGTATCTGTCATCATCTTCTCTAGGCCCGACTTCTAACACGGCTACACCCACTAGCAGTCCATCGACCATGTCGACCAAGACTTCGTCGGCTGGCCCCTCTGCCTCCGCCAGTAAGCCCTCCCTGGGCCTTACTGGACAGGAAACCACGACGGCCGCGGCTTCCGGCAGTTCAACTGTGTCGGTAGCCGATGCAACCAAGACTGGCGACAAGGGCAACGGAGCTGCGTCTGGCCTACACGCTCAAGGCGCCCAGCTCGCCTCCTTTGTTGGTGTCGCTGCTCTTCTCTTAATAGTATAGATGAGAGTATTCGAAAAAGATATAGAAGGAAGTCGGAATATTGTTAGCCTGGCTCCTGGGGGCAGCACGGTTGGATATAAGGCACATATGATACCATTGGAGGAGGATCGACATTAATTTTTGAATACTCGGATACGGAACGCATGCAACGCAGCTAGACCTGCCGCGCGCGAATCGCATTTTACATGCTGCATTTATAGGCTTTTAATACACACAACGCCTAATGCCATTTCTACGCTTCGAGGAAATTTAACCCAGGTTTCTTGATTTTGGACGCCTTGCTTTCGTCGGAGAAATGAGAACAGCAAACCGGCATCTACTTGCTACCAGCAGGCGTAGTAGAGCTCGTAGTAGCTCATAATTTGCCTACACAGACCGGTTTCGTTGAAACGAATACCCGCGAGTATGACATAACTGAGCGCCGCCGATGAGTTTTTCAATGGTAACCCTGACGAATACTGTAATCCTTTTAAAAAGATTAATGTTTAGAATCTGGAAACGACTTGTGTACATATCCATGAAAGCTTATACCTAAAGGACGGCGGACTCAGCACAGTAACTATGGAGAGTGGAGACAGTGTTGGCGCAGCCAATCCAACGGTGGCCAGCTTGGTCACAGCCAGTAATAGGGATTGTCTTGTCACTCTGCAACTTAGATTATCACCTCCTGAATACGCGACATTGAACTGTAAAAATCAAGACGCAGGCAATCGTTCCTTCACGCCGCTCTTTTTCTCTTTTTTCCATCTCTTCCACTGACTGCTTCTAGCAAGTTCGACTGTCCTTGCGCGGCAATTGTTCCGCCTACCATCAACCCCCCGGCACATCTAATACTTTGTACCACAAGCCAAAAAATGACAGCGGCCGCAGCAGCGACTACACTACCACGATTACAATGAGACAAGCCAAGCGCGGAGGCGATTCTGGCAGCGGCGGCGGCGACTGGAACGACGGCGACGACCGCCAGGGTCTACTAGCCGGGGGCCACGACGACGGCAAGGAGACCACCTCACTGCCCAACGGCGGCAGCGAGCAGCAGCAGCAGCAGCAGCCAGCGCAGGTACGGACACCAGCACGGGTGCGCTTCAATGATGTGCCCGAGGTGGTGCGCATGAGCAGCGCCTCGTCACGGCCGTCCGGCGACGACAGCCTCGACGGGGTCAACGACGACAACGATGACCCGCGCAGCACGCTCGACCTCGAAGACCCCCTCCGCGCCTCGACCGACTCGGACCACCGGATGCCGCTTCTCACGAGCATGGAGGCGCCCTCGGTCGCGCTGGCCAACGATCTGGACGCCGCCGACGCGGCGGCCCAGGAGCTGCGGCGGCCCAAGTCCGGGCTGCAATCCGCCTTTATGAACATGGCCAACTCCATCATCGGCGCGGGCATCATCGGGCAGCCGTACGCGATCCGGCAGGCGGGCCTGCTGGCGGGCGTGGTGCTGCTCGTCGGGCTCACGGCCGTCGTCGACTGGACCATTTGCCTCATCGTCATCAACAGCAAGCTCAGCGGCACCAGCAGCTTCCAGGGGACCGTGCAGCACTGCTTCGGCCGCCCGGGGCTCATCGCCATCTCGCTCGCCCAGTGGGTCTTTGCGTTTGGCGGCATGGTCGCCTTTGGCGTCATCGTCGGCGACACCATCCCGCACGTGCTGCTCGCCGTCTGGCCCGGCCTGTCCGACGTGCCCGTCGTCGGGCTGCTGGCGGATCGACGCGTTGCCATTGCCGTCTTTGTCATGGGCATCAGCTACCCGCTCACGCTGTACCGGGACATTGCCAAGCTCGCCAAGGCGAGCACCTTTGCGCTGGTCGGCATGCTGGTCATTGTCGCGACGGTGCTGGTGCAGGGCCTGCTGGTGCCGGCTGAGGCACGTGGCGAGTTTAGTTTGCCGCTGCTGACGGTGAATACGGGTATTTTCCAGGCCATTGGCGTTATATCGTTCGGTACGTGCCAAGCAAAAAATGGATGCGGTCTCGCACGTAGTTTGGTTGGTTGCTAACATACAATCGCACAGCCTTTGTCTGCCACCACAACTCTCTCCTCATCTACGGCTCGCTGCGTACGCCCACGATTGACAACTTTTCACGCGTCACACACTACTCGACCAGCATATCCATGGTGGCGTGCCTCGTGCTCGCCCTCGGCGGCTTCCTCGTCTTTGGCGACAAGACGCTCGGCAACGTGCTCAACAATTTCCCCTCGGACAACATCATGGTCAATGTCGCGCGGCTCTGCTTTGGCCTGAACATGCTGACCACTCTGCCGCTCGAGGCCTTTGTGTGCCGCGAGGTGATGCAGACGTACTGGTGGCCCGACGCGCCGTTTAACCTGCGCCGGCACGTTGTGCTCAGCACGGGGCTCGTCGCCGCCGCCACGTTTCTGAGCTTGGTGACGTGCGACCTCGGCGCCGTCTTTGAGCTCGTTGGCGCCACAAGCGCCGTCGCCATGGCGTACATTCTCCCGCCCATGTGCTACATGAAGCTGACGACGCGGAGCTGGCGCACCTACCTCGCCGGCGCCATTGTCGTCTTTGGCACGCTGGTCATGGTCATTTCCGTCGTTCAGGCGGTTGGGAAGCTGATCAATAGTGAGTCCCCCCCGCAGATTAGGTAGTTATGGAACAGGTGGGAAGCTAACAAAGTCGGTAGATACAGATGGCCCGGCAAAATGCCAATAATACGAGCGTCAAAACAACTCGCTCTTTTCTTTTCAACGCTTTGTACATATACATGGGGCTTGGTGGGGTGGGAATTACTCGGAAATCACGGTTGGAAAACAAAAGGCTTAGCCATTGTATAATGCTGGCTGGGAGCCTTTGGACTTGCATTCTGGACAAGCGAGGAAGGGCTATGACAGAACATGCTGAGCAGCCTGGACGCCTCAGCGCTGTATCGCTGTACCTATAGATTTTTATGGCATACGTGGGAGTTTTTTTTGTATTCATGTAGTTTAGACAAACTCGATGGGATTTCCCTCGCAACTTTGTCAGGAAACCATACCACATCTGCACCGCTCACCGTGACAAGCTCATCCTTCAACGTAGGTACCAATATTACGTAGCAAACCTACCCAGTTTTTGCCTTTGAGCTTCTCATCGTCAATGCAGACGCAAAAGCAGGCAACTCATGCGCTAATAGCCAAAAAAAAAGCCAACGCCAACGCCGTCCTGATAAGCTCTTTCCTGGCTATAACGTACCCCGCCTCCGCTCCAACAGCCCAGCGCTGACAAGACCGCCCGTTGACGAATCGTAGCGCACGAGATACCAAGAATCATCATCCCTTCTCTCCGAGGTCACACCCCTTGTTGACAAGGGGGGGTCTCTGCTATCCCCCAAAACAGTTTCCGCGGGGTTTGTTATTTTGTTCCCAGGTTGGTTGTGCGAGCAAAAAGAGCTTTTCCGTCTTGTTGGCAGCACGTCACACAGCATGTTCAGTTTCCCCGCTCAGGCTGGCTGCGCAGCTGACCCAACCCTAACTTGCCTACCCTCTTGTTGTTGCACCTTTCCTGCGAAGTGAGGGGATTTCTCTTTCTCCTTGAACAAACTCTTTCGTACTTTCTTTCTTTGGAAACCATATCCCGAAAACACAGAAAACACCAACAAGAAATCAAAAGCAAAGGCGAGAACAAGACAAATCGCCCCAAGATGCTCGTCAACTACAACCACGCCAGCTGCCCCAAGTGCAGCTCCGCCATTACAGACGGCGGTAAGACTTGCAGCAGCTGCGGCGCTGTACGTAAAACCCCTTTGTTTGGTTTTCCTTCTTTCTTGTTTTACCAGAGATCTGTGTCACTGACGCGAAATAAACTCTTCTTGACAGACATGCCCCAACTAAGAGACAGAGTTGGCTGACTGTTTCGTTTGCGGAACTGCGGCCCGGATCGAGAAACGCCAGACACGTTGTCTTATTAGTTCCAGCTAGATGTGTTACTGGTGATCTGCAGCATGAAGAAGCGGGGCGGGTGTAGATGAGTAGAGATGATGATATGACGATGCCGACGATGATGATGACGACCTTAGCATAGAGACGCGGAGTTTACGAGACGCGGAGAGTGTTGAGCTGCGAGAGTGTTGAGATGCCTTCCAAATTATACAGGGACAGTTGTTATCCAGACGAATAAGATGTCTAGCACAGCCTTCACCGTGATATGCAAGACATGCATGCTCGCTTCTCCTTCTCACACACAAGCAAGCATCTTGTCCGTACTCGGTAGAAATGTAAGAGATTTATATTATGCCAAGCACGGTTCATGGAGCTCTGCGTCTCATGCACCGCACAGTGGCACACCACACTAGACCGTCCTCGTCGGCTGTTCTCTTGCTTTCTCTTTACTAACCCGTGTCCTCCGCGATCAAACAGTCTGCACAAAAACACGCACACGCACACACAAAAACAATGTAAAGAAACATGCCCTACATGGCCCCCAATACACACACCACAAGTCAGCTTGGCCATCGAGACGCTCACCAATTCGGCGCCAACGACAAGCCCATCTTCGCTTGCAGCAGCAACACAAGACACAATCCGCTCGACCAAAATATAACAAATAAAAGACGTATTAATTATGGCCCTTCTAGCACCTCATTCGCTTATTCCACATCGGCAAGCCCGCGCGTCAAATCAAAGCCAAGGTACAAGCCGGGTGACATCTAAAAAAAACTCCGAAATACGGCAACCTGTGTAAACGGCTTGCCGGTCTGTCTGATACAAACCGCCACCTCTCTTCCGCTGATGGAGCAGAGGGACGTGTGGCGCTGCCGGTCAGAGTCGCTAGGATGGTTCAAAAGTGTGCAACGCGGGTTCGGCCTGAGCCGGGGAGGCTAGCATGAGAAGGAGGTCCGGGACCGGATGCGTTGTCATTGTGCTCGCGCAAATTGGCTGTTTACAGGATGCGGCACTTCTTGTGCTTGGTGCGGCTACTGCGCGAAAGCAGGGCAGCACGAGTGGCGTGCTCGAAAACCTCGTGGACACCCTCGTTGGTTTTGGCAGAGCATTCGAGGTACTTGTAAGCACCAATCTTCTTGCGGATCTCCTCACCCTGTTTCATGTGTTAGTCGATGGACGTAAGCGCGTGGGCCAGCATACGCGGCGGTCGGTCGGGTGAGTGCAGACGGGCCCGTGTCATATCAGACGACCGACGGGCCACGCCTGGGCTCGCGTGTGCCGCATAAAAGATGGCAGGGCCGTAGCAAGAGAAAGCATACCTCTTCGGGGCTGACGGGCTTCTGGCTCGTCTTAGCCAGCTCGTTTGTGACCTTTTGGTCGTAACGGAGATCCTTCTTGCAGCCAACGAGAATAATAGGAAGGCCCTGGCAGAAGTGAAGGACCTCGGAGATCCACTGCAATTGTGGCGAAGTGGTTAGCTGGAGTTCGCAAGTGCAGCGGGCGTAGCACCCAGGGGGTATGCTGGTGAAACTGAACCTTCTCCTGGACGTTGTCAAGGGAATCGGGGGAGTCGATGGCGAAGCAAATCAGAATAACGTGCGAATCAGGGTACGACAGAGGACGAAGACGGTCGTAATCCTCCTGACCAGCAGTATCCCAAAGGGCTAGCTCAACATGTTTGCCATCGACCTCGACGTCGGCAACATAGTTTTCGAAAACGGTGGGGACGTAAACCTGGGGAAAGTGAAGAAGGGCGTGTTAGCGACGAGCATCTCTAGAATATTGCCCGGTTAATTGAGATTTGTTGTCGTAGCGGACCGATAACTTTGGAAGCGTGCATCGGGAGCATTTGGGGTTGGGTTGATGCGTCGTCACGCAGAGCGTTATCGGTGGCCCACGGGGGCGGGCAAAGATGTTGATGGCGTCGCGGGCAGTCGTTGGAAATAGGGGAGGGCCGAGAGAATCATCGGGTGCTTACCTCTGGGAAAGTTCCCTTGGAAAAGACACTAGAGAGTCAAGTCAGTACAGGATTGATGGTAATGAGGCCGCGGGTCTGGTTGGGAGGATGCGTGCCGGGTGGCAGGCGGAGAAGACGAGGCGCCTAGTGGTGATACTAACATCAACAGACAGGTTTTGCCACAGGCACCGTCGCCGACGATGACGAGCTTTCGGCGGATTTCAGCCATGGTTTGTATGGGGATGGGATGTGAGGATAATGTCGTGGAGATAGACTATGGAAGAAAAAGATGGCGAGAAGAGCAGATGAGATGCACGATTTTGGGGGGTGGCGGAGGATGGTAGATGGTGGATGGAGGAGCGAAAGGCGAACGTCAGAAGGGGGTTTGTGACGGGTGGAGAGGAGAAGGACTGATGGACATGAGGTGGGAGCTGGGAGCTGGAGCTGGGAGCTGGCAACTGGCAACTGGGGTTGGCTGGCAGCTGGTTGCCTATTGCCTCCTCATCGAGGTACCAGGCTGCCTTTATGCACAGCAAAAGATACAAAGATACCTACGGTGTTCGTCCAAGTGCGATTGGTTGGCTGCGCCTGGGTAGGGAGGCCTGTCGACGTCTGTCGAGCTGGCTGTGCTCATCTCCGTCTGCATCTTTCTTTCCTTCTCTTTTTCCTTCTCCTTTTCCCTCTTGTCCAACAACCTGGGTAGTTACCTAACAAATACCTATTTTCCTGCCTGCCTTAAAAAAAATTTGTCGGTACCAACGGGGGCTGTGCTTAGTCGGCGAGTTCTCTTCAATCGCTCGACCACTGTAATCCGCCGCCCGAGCCTCTGTTAACGCAGTTTGACCGGGCAAGTGGGTGTCGACGGTGCCACGCACCACTGTTCTGTGATACCTACTACCAGTAATAACACCTTGCCAGTCCAGCCTCTATTACAGCCTGTGTGATCTAGTCTAGCCCATGGAAGGCCTTTTGTTTTCGCTGTACGGAGTTTTCAATGGCGATTTTCTACCGATTTTCTCACAATTCCTCAGGGCCCGCCAAGTCTCTCGCCCGCCGTCGTTGTGTGTAATGCAGATGGCTGATCTGTCTGTGGCTGAGGTTGGGCTCAGTGGGCTGTGCTGTAAGTACCTCTGTACCTACTAAGGTATCACAGTATCAATTATCAGCTCTTGCCCGTGTCTTGCTACATACAGCCGTAATAAACAATGATTATCATGTATCATGTCCGGCTTCCCGATGCATGCACAAGGGTCCAGACCTGGCACTCTTTCACTCGGATACAAAACAGTGTGACATGAGCTGTGATTATTGACTTTAACAGTCTCCAGAGCACGCCTTTGCCACCTACCACCAACCGCAAATGACCATTCTGGTACCTCCTCAACGCACTGGCCTGTCACTTCAATGCCAATGATACGTGCAATCCGCCACTTTACCCGGCGTTGTTGGCAATTTGCGCTCAATCCTTTGTATTTTTTTGCAAAAAAAAAATGCCATTTACCATAAGAAGGTCTTTTTGTGCTGTCCACCTCGAAGCGGATACCACGTTCTACAACAATTAGCTCTAAGTTAGGTACTAACAGGATAAAGGACTGGCGATAGCATGTGATTCTCAGCGAGAGACTGCCTTGCTCATATGGCTGGCAATCACACCCAGTCGCTATACTTTGTGGGTAGAACAGAACAGTGTGTTCATCGGAACGGTTCCGGTTGTGCAAGCACCTGGGCGTTTAATAAATCACAGCAGCTCGCACCCCATCCCGGCCGAGTTACACCCCATCCATTGCTCGCAAACGTCGCAGCTTGCTTTGTCGCGCCTAGCGTGGTACCTCGAGGCGCTTTGAGCATGCAGGACCTCCTGGTAGTACTGTAGATAGATGTAGTAGTTAGGTACGTTAGGTACCTGGGAAGTTGCCTAGATGTCGCACGTGCATCTTTAGGCATGTCTGTAGTAATCTGCCTGCGGACTTCCTCCTTCACCAATCTACATGAACCAACAGATGACCAAACGGCCCGAAAGCCAGTGACCTGGTTGAACGGCAAGCCAAACCAAGTGGGGTGTCGCATCTGAGCGCAACAGCCATTTATCAGAGGAAATATGCATAAAAGGCACATGCTCGGATCTATCTCTATGGTCCGTTTCCCAGGCACGCGCTGAAGACAAGGAATAGTTAACTAGTCCCCGCACCATATATTGGGCAAGGCGTACTCGGGCTGCTGCCTCAGGACAGGACTCCATGGACCAGCAACTCAATTGTTTCGGCTCTGGTTCTCTTGTAAACAAGTGCCCGCCGCCACTGTCACAAATAGAACGATCTCGACATGCAAAATGTGGAGGTGAGGCTTGAGCCGCTTCCTCTTCGCTGTCGCTGCCCTGCCCTGTGCCATGCTGTTGCGCTGAACCCAGCCCAGAGCCCAGAGCTGCCATATCGATTGCACTCGTCCAAGATCGACATGGCGCCGGCATATCCAGGCCGTGCCGTGTAATTTGTACATATATTTTTATTGTAGGAACCACTGCCCCATACACCCGTGGATCGGTAAAACGTACGATTATCGCGCTACTTTCAGCAGAGCCTGTACTTGGTAGGCTTACGCGTAATAGTGCGTCTTGATAAACTACATAGTAACATTGCTCGCTGCGGTTCCCCATGAACAGTGGTAGGGATAACCATCGTATTAAAAATAGTCGTCACTCTAGAGCTCACACTTGATATTGCTAGCCGTTGCAGTCCTCCATAGAGAGAGGTAGGGAGGTAGGGGCCTCGTATGTATTATTTCGGTTTCCTAAAGCATCTCGCAGCCACAGGGTTGTAGTGGTTTCTATTAGACAACTGAAATACGCGGATAACCACACCGCCGCAATACCCAAACTTGAGCAATCCAATCAGATTTTACGTGAGTACCATAGAGACCCGCCGCGTTAGCCAAACAAAAAAAAAAGACTTAGGCGACAACTCGCAAAATCCTCCAAAATCGCCAAATCGCAGATACAGGGTAAGCTAGGTACTTTTCGCCGCCACTGCCGCCTTACCTATTCGGGACTTTTTGCAGCTTCTCCCGAAATTCCTTTTCGCATCTGCACGCGACCCTGCTCAATCATCATCGACGTCCTCAACCCGGCGCAAGGTCTGCCAGATCCCAAGAGCACTGCACAGGACCCTATTGAACCCAGCACAACTCAATCGAGCCATAAGCACTGTGTCGCAGACCAAGCATGGACAAGATTGTTAAGCGTGTGGCGCACGCCCAGCGTTCTGCCAGCCGCAGAACTCAAAGGGCCACGAGGCGACAGAAGATCCTGTCATACTATCGCGCCGACAACACGATAAAGGTGGCCAACCGAGAAATCATCGATAACATTAAGGACGCCAAAAAGGCCACAAAGGAGGACTGGGAGCTTGGCCCCCTGGCTCCGCAGCGCGATCTGGGCTTCAACAACTACGGTGTCGTCACGCAACCCATCCGTCAGGACTGGAGCAATTACGGCCAGATCAGGTACCAGACCAAGCTTGCCGAACAGCGATGCGCCTGGGCCGGCGGTGCCAAGATGCTTAACCTAGCACCGGGCGACAGAGTTGTCATCTTCGAGGGCCACGACAAGGGCAAAATTGACACCATCAAGACGATTCAACCCGAGACTGGCTCCCTTACGCTAGAAACCCACAATAGAGTACGTTGCAATCAATAAGTACCAATCAGCCCCCGATTGTACTAACACTTCTCCAGGCCATGGTCAAGAGTATGCTCGACCAGCCTCCCCGCTCACAACCGATGCCCCTTTCCATCGACGCAGTCCGACTCGTATACCCTTTGCCCGATCCCGCAACAGGCGTCACAAAGGACACCATCATCAGACAGTTGAAGGCCGTGCCACCGAGAATGGAATCGCCCAACATGACCATTGAGCGCTGGCGCTACGGCAACAAATGGGACCGCATAGTTCCCAGCCTCAACAGGATCATCCCCTGGCCCGAGACGGTGGCACCTGAGTTCGAGATGACGGCCAGCGACACTGCCCGTGATCAAGTCGAGGAGCGCACCTTCTACTACAGCCTCACTGCTTCGCCCATGCCCGAGGGCGTCATTGATGAGCTGCGTAACAAGTACTCCAAGTTCCGTACCAGACACGAGGATTGGTACGTGGACGCGCAAGAGGCCGAAACTCGGGCCAAGGAGAACAGAAACCAGAAGGTGCGCGACATGCAGACACCGCTGGAGGAGTTCAATGAGATGCAGCGCGCAATCCGTGATGTCGCCGGCGAGCCTGAGCTATCAGAGGATATGCTGGCTAAGATTGGCAAGGTCATGGCCAAGAGCAAGGCTGAAGTTTTGGAAAGATCTGGTGTATCAGAGGTTGAATCGAAGTAGTAGAGGGCTTGTGTGTACTGTTGAAAGCAGCGTTCTTGGATGCAAGAACTGCTGAGCGCTGGGCTAGGTTGCGCCTGGCATGTACTAATCCGATAAGGACTTGTAAATTACCATCTGAAAATAGACATTCGTCAAATATTTATGCTTCCATGTATTATTGCAAATGTAAGTAAGAAATATCCAGTGTCTACAGTCAGCTTGCGTTGTGCGGGCAGGAGCTTTACTTCAACCTGCCCGCCTCGGCTTGAACCTTGCATGCAGATGTAGGGAGGCTGACAGACCGAGTCATCTAACCAACTAAAAAGTAAACCAAGCTCGAATTCGTGTCCAAGGCATCTATCCCCCCCCTGATCACACCGGAAAACTAAGGGTGTACTATTTGGAGAAAGCTACCTAGGAAGAGCTCCGGCCGTCTCCGACCTAGGAGGGAGGGACCAAACCCTTGGCTCGCTGTTTGGCCCGTTGATAACACCCCGCGCCAACCCCCACCTCGACGCAACCGATAGATAAAGTTACAAGCTTGCTATTCCACCATCCTCATTCTTCAAATTTTGTCCTGCCACTTTTCACTTTCTGCTAAACCAAGCGGAATAAAAGAGTTGAAAAACAAAGAAATCATGTCGCACTCTCACGAAGGAGCTTCCCACTCGCACGATGGCGGCTTCAACGCCCAGGAGCACGGCCACTCGCACGAGATCCTCGACGGGCCGGGTAGCTACGTTGGACGCGAGATGCCCATTGTTGAAGGCCGCGAGTGGTCCGACCGGGCATTTACTGTTGGCATTGGCGGGTGCGTTTTTGACAAAGCCCAGCCCGAATAGATTTCAGAGCGCTAACACATGCAACAACAGCCCCGTTGGCTCCGGCAAGACGGCGCTGATGCTCGCCCTCTGCCTCGCCCTCCGCCAAGAATACGGCCTCGCGGCCGTGACCAACGACATCTTCACGCGTGAGGACGCCGAGTTCCTGACACGACACGCCGCGCTCCCTCCTGCGCGCATCCGCGCCATCGAGACAGGCGGCTGCCCGCACGCCGCCGTCCGCGAGGACATTTCGACCAACCTGGCCGCCCTCGAGGACCTGCACCGCGAGTTTTCCACCGACATTCTCCTCATCGAGTCGGGCGGCGACAACCTCGCCGCCAACTACAGCCGCGAGCTGGCCGACTTCATCATCTACGTCATCGACGTCAGCGGCGGCGACAAGGTCCCCCGCAAGGGCGGCCCCGGCATCACCCAGAGCGACCTCCTCGTCATCAACAAGACGGACCTGGCCGAGGCCGTCGGCGCCGACTTGTCCGTCATGGAGCGGGACGCGCGCAAGATGCGCGAGGGCGGCCCGACCATCTTTGCGCAGGTGAAAAAGGACGTTGGCGTCCAGCATATTGTCAAGTTGATCCTCAGCGCCTGGAAGGCCAGCGGCGCCGAGGAGGATCGCAAAAGCCAGGGCGGCCCCAAGCCGACACCGGGTCTGGAGAGCTTGACAAAGTAGGCGATGATAATACCAAGTTGCGAGATTCGAGAATAATAGTATGAAAAAGGAACAAAATATCAGTCACTGGAGCTTACACACAAAAAGAAATGAAGTTGCTGGAGTTAGCTTATACTCACAAACAATCACTTTTCAAGTATTGCATTTCTTTTCGGTAACCTATGAATCCTATTTTCCCAACACGTAATGCGTAGTCCGTTGTCATGATATATAAGTATAAATCCCTCCTCTCTTTGTCCTCATTTGCTCATTCCTTTTTTTGTAAATCATTTATATCTTCCTTACGCCATGGTCAAATCGCCATCGGCCTCGACAGCACTAACAGCAGCACCAGCCTCCAGTAGGGATCCCCGGACTGGCGTAGCGTTGCGCGGCCAGACTCTCTTGTACAGGCTGACGCCGATTGAGTCTTGCGGGTTGATGCGTCCGTCAAACGTGGCCTTGAAGTAGCCGTGCGTACCGAGCGGCTCCTTGATGAAGCCGCTGCGACCGCGCCGCGTCCACAGCGGCATGGCCTTGAACCACTCAACGTCCTCGCGGTTGAAGAACATGTAGCGGATGGTGACAATCTTCTTGTTGATGTGGTACGGGTGGCCGGTCAGGAGGATGCGCTTGGCGACGACGCGGTTGGTGGACGGCGGCAGCGCGGTGCCGGTGCCGATGAGTGCGAGGCCGGGGCCGTCGCCCTCGAGCGGGTCCGTGCCGGGCTCGGTGGTGGTGCGCTTGAAGAAGAGCACGGGCACGGCGCCCCAGGTGACGGGTCCCATAAAGGTGGCAATGGCGCTGCCGCCAGGGTGCAGGTAGCGCGCGTACTTGTGCACGTTGTTGGGCGTGGTGCCCGCTTGCGAGAAGAGCGGGTTGATGACCATGCGGCGGGGTCCGCACTGCACGATGAGTTCCTCCTTGGACTTGACTGACTTGCCGTAGTCGGTGCTCAGGTTGAACAGGTAGTTGACGGCCGTCTTCTTGTTCTCGTGGCGGAACAGCGAGAAGAGCGCGACGGCCGCCGTGGGCTTGTGCGACTGCGCGAGGCTCGGCGACAGGCCCTTGAGAAAGACGTGCACGCGCGTGCCGGGCTCGACGCCGCCGACGAGGGCCTCGCGAACGGCGCGCCCCTTGGACGCGGCGTAGTCGGGGATCCGCAGCAGGCGGCGCCAGTCCTCGGGCTCGTGGGCGCGGTCCTCGTCCTCTTGCCAGGCGCTGGTGCGCAGGCTCTTGAGGCCGCGGTACCGCGCCAGGCGCTCGCGGGCGAGAACCTGTGGATGTAGCTCGATCTCGTCCGGGAACTCCTTGTCGTCCTCGGCTTCGTCGTGCTTCTTGGAGCGGTACTGGGCCAGTTGCTCAGCATCGGCCGCCTCGTCCAGCTCCTCCATCATCTCTGACTGGGGGTATTCGGAAGGACCGCCTTCTGTGGGCTCGGGCTGGGCATAGCCCTCTATGCCGTCTTCGGGAGCAGCTTGATATTCTTCGGCGTGGGTGTCTTCCATCTCCATATCTTCCATGTCCGACTCTGAGTCGGACACATCCTCGAGGTACCAAGCGGACTGGTACTTGGATGTTCCCTTGGGGACCTTCCTCTTTGCTTGCTCCGCCTTCTCCTCCTCTCCCTCGGAGAAGTAGTGGTGGTCGTCAAGAAGAACACCCTTCTTGGGAGCAGTAGCGGGATCCTCCTCAGCCTCTTCGGTGTCCATGAGGACGTCTTCGGGAGCCAGCTCATTCAGGTCATCACAATCGTCGCTGGGCTCGTCGAGAACCTGGCTAGCCTCGTCCTCTGCAGATTGCGTAGCGTTGCCCTTGCCATGTTTGGCAAGCGGCGCAGCCACAATCTTTTCGATTTGGAATGTACCCCAATCACCAACCTGCACCAGTCTATCGGCCTTCAGGCCGCGGCCACGGACGACTCCCGTAATGACGGTGGTATCCGTCTCTGTGTTGGCAAATTGGATATCCTCAGCGAGCAGCCAACTGCGTTCGTCCCTCCACCTTACACCCTTGGGCGTTGTGCTGCACAGCGAACGCATCAAATTTGCGCACTCTTGTCTGTTTTCGAGATTGAAGATTTTTTCCTGCTCGGGGTGGAAATGTGTGATGAAGGACTTGAGCGAGCTGACGACGCCGGGACGCTGCTTGGCAGGCTCAATCTTTTCGAGACCCTGAACGACGGTAATCAGAGTGGACAAACCCTGACTCTCGACAGATCGCAGAATGAGCTCGCCAAGTTGGTCGACCTCAATGGAGGCAGACAAAATGACGACAACAAAGTCGGCAACACGGGTCGCATCGAGACACTCAGTAAGGTCACGCTGAAGGGGCATGTATTGGAGCTTTTGCTTGAAGCGGTCGACGGAGACTCGAAAGTTGCCAGGCTGGACACTGGCGGTAATGTCTAAGCTGCCGTTGAGCTGTTGAATAGCGGCGGCGGCATCGCCGTCGGGGCACAACGGCAGGACAGCAACAATTCTGGGGGCGCCCTCACGGTTGTTGAAGACGGAAGAGCCCTTTAGGTGCTCCTTGTGCTTGATGAGACGGGCCTGCTTGGCCTGGTTTCGTCGGTCAAACTTGGACATGACTTGCTGGTGGGGTGTCTTGCGCGATCCTTTTTCGTCGGGTACTCGACCTATACAGGGAAAAGGAGTTAGTCTTGGGGCAGAAATGTAGTAAGTAGGACGGGAAATCAGTCGTACCCTTGGCGCGGTCTCGCAGCTCGTGCTTGGAAGCGGCCTTGGATTTGAAGGGCTTGTGAGAGACCTTGGTGGTCGGCCTATGGGAATGGGCCACAGCGGTAGGCATTTTGCCCTCACCGGCTTTGAAGCGGAACGGAATGGAGGCCAGCTTGAAGGCGATGCACCTTGCGACTGGGAAACGAATCTGAAGCTTTTCTGAGAGCTGACAAAGTCTGGTAGTCGTCGCAAGACTTGTCGAAGTGGCGGTTGAGAGGCGGCGGGGTGGATGGTTATCAGGAAATTTTTGTGTGGCCAGTACTGATAAGTTTTAGTGGTGGATGCGGCATGCGACACCGTGATGGCGAGGGGGAGGGGGTATACGTGAGGATTCTGGGATTACGACCTGATATCTCGCATTTTTCGCTCGAATATTCGATGGGGTATAGATTCGTAAAATATTTCAATCATTCATAATTACTGCCGAGTTGCACTCTTGATTCCCATGTTTTGTAAGTATCGGTTTTCACTACTTTGTAACCAAGTCTTCTTTCGGCAAGTGGGGATATATACTGCTTATCGATACCAAACTTTTTTTTTCTCAAGTTTGACAAGCCTCAGAAATGGCTGGCGGAACAGACAAACCTGCATGCTCACGAGGAGATTTTGTACAAAACCAGCCAAACCACCACCACCGTGCCCTACCTGACTAACACGTTTGAATCTACTCGAGCGCCGCGACAATGCCAACAGACGTGGTGGCCGAGGCCAGTGCCGCCGTGCGCGACAATGGCGCCGTCACGGTTACCACGCAATCCAGCTCCGACCTCTTCCCCCGGCACGACAAGGAGAGAAGGAAGCGTTTTCGCGAGGCCAAGAAGGCCTATGGTCGCGGCAAGCAGATTGACATTAAGAACGTCCGCGACAAGAAGCTGCGACGAAACCTGAAGGAGCTCGAGAGCAAATTCCAAGCCGCTGCTGTCAAGGCCAAGGATGCCGAGATTTTGCTCGAAAACACATCTGGCTTCCTTGAGCCCGAAGGCGAAATGGAAAGGACGTACAAGGTTCGCCAAGAAGACATTCTCCCCGAGGTAGCGATGGAAACGGCGACGAAGCGATTCGAACTCAAGTTGGATAGCCTTGGCCCCTACGTGTTTGACTACTCGAGGAATGGAAGAGAATTGCTCCTCGGTGGACGCAAGGGTCATGTCGCGACCATGGACTGGCGAGAGGGTAAGCTTGGCTGCGAAATTCAGCTTCGAGAGACCGTTCGCGATGTCAAGTGGCTGCACAACAACCAATATTTTGCGGCCGCGCAGAAGAAATATGTATACATTTACGACCGCAACGGAGTCGAACTGCACTGCTTGCGCAAACACGTTGAACCTACGCATATGGAATTTTTGCCTTACCACTTCCTCTTGGCCACCATTGTAAGACACATTGTGATATTGAGCCACAGAACCAATCAAGACTAACTTGGCCAACAGGGAAATGGCGGCGTTATCCGATACCAAGATACGTCAACCGGCCAACTCGTCGGAGAAATGGCAACGAAGCTTGGACAGCCCGTATCGCTGGGCCAGAACCGTTACAATGCGATCATGCATGTCGGACACCAGAACGGTGCAGTCACATTGTGGTCGCCCAACTCGCAAGAGCCACTGGTCAAGCTACTCGCCCACCGAGGCCCGGTGCGTTCACTGGCTATGGACAGAGTCGGCCGATACATGGTGTCAACAGGGCAGGATCAAAAAATGGCCGTGTGGGACATACGAATGTTCAAGGAGGTCAACAGCTACTTCACCAGACAACCGGCGTCATCGGTGTCTATATCCGATACCGGTCTCACCGCCGTGGGGTGGGGTACCAGGACGACGATATGGAAGGGCCTATTTGACAGCAACGCCGCTGTGCAAGAAAAAGTACAAAGTCCGTACATGGCTTGGGGTGGCGAAGGCAGACGCGTTGAGCGCGTGCAGTGGTGCCCGTACGAAGATGTCCTCGGCCTCGGCCACGACCAGGGCTTCTCCTCCATCATCGTCCCCGGCGCCGGCGAGGCCAACTTTGACGCCTTCGAGACCAACCCGTTCGAGACCGCGAAGCAGCGACAAGAGTCCGAAGTCAAGGGCCTGCTCAACAAGCTGGCGCCCGAGATGATTGCGCTGGATCCCCACTTTGTCGGCCAGCTCGACCTGCGCTCAGATGCCCAGCGCAAGGCCGAGAGGGACCTCGACGCCCCCGCGGTAGACATTGCCGAGGAGATTCGCAACCGGGCCCGAGGCAAAAACGGCGCGCTCAAAAAGTACCTGAGAAAGCAGAGGAAGAAGAACATCATCGACGAGAAGAGGATGAAGGTCGACGAGATATGGAACGAGCAGCAAAAGCAAAAAGACAAGAAGCGACAGGAAGTCGAACAGGATCTCGGCCCGGCGCTGGCTCGCTTTGCCCGCAAAGAATAGCCCCAGTGGCAGTAGACGGGCTCTGCAGCCGGCATGTATATATAATACCCTGGGAAATGTACAGCGTCGATATATTCAAAACTGCCTTGGGTTTAAATGTGACTGAATTGTCTCTGCGCCTTTTCTATATGCTCATTACTCGCATCCAACGTTAAATCATCCCAGCCAAGTCCCATTATGCGCCATCCATTTCCGTGATATTAAAAACCGTGAGCTTTTTTTTTTGTTTGTCAAAATCAAGAGTCCCGCGTAATCTTTACAGGAGCTTCAAGTGGCCCGTCACCTCATCGATGAGGCTTTTGGGCGCGGGGCCGACGCCGAGCACCGTCATGCTGCCGGCCTCGATCTGGGTGCGGCCGGCGTCCTTGATGACCTCGGCGGTGAGGCCCATGGCGCGGGCCTTGCGGCACAGCTGGAGCATCTCGTCCTGGCTCTTGAGCTGCACGGCAATCTTGGCCTGGCCCAGCCTTTCCCAGCGGGCCAGGATTTTGCGCTCGGTCGAGTTGGGGTCGGGGTTGCTGGCGAGCGCCTTGTAGCAGGCGAGGGTGGCGTGGGAGCACTGGGCGGCGATTTTACCTGCAGGGAAGCAAGCGAACAGACAGTTAGCCGACCACCACTCTTGTAACTCTTCTAGGATCTTGTTGAGTATGGCACGGAGGGGGAAACGTACCCTTGGTCATGCCCAGGTCGGTGCGGACGACCAGGACGAGCTTGCACTCCTCGTTGGTGAGCTTGGGCTTGGCGCCCGCGGCGGCGTCGGTGGCGCCAAAGCGCAGGCCCTGCTTGACGTCGGCGGCCTCGCCGTTGGTCCAGTTCGGCGCGTGGTCCAGCAGCGAGTCGCCCTCGTCGACGTCGCTCTCCTCGCTCTCGACGGGGTCCTCGCGGTTGGCGCGGCGCTCGGCCTGCAGCGCGGGGGAGAAGAGGTACCCGCGGCTGGTGTACAGGCCAAAGATGTAGCCCGTGATGAACGTTGTCAGCGCCGTGGTGATTGCGACGGTGGTGTTGTCCATTGTCATTGTGAAACGGGAGGGGGGCTTCGGTTGCCGTCGGGGATGCCGGGAAAATGGAGAGCCGACGGAGCCTGAGCCTGTCTTTCAAGTGCGGGAGATGCGGCACCGGAGAACTAAGCTACCGTAAGCGGCGGCGGTCTTGTCTGAGGGAGAGTATTTGAATTGGAAAGCAAAGAGCGTTGGAAGAATAGCTTCGTGTTTTGGCGATTTTGAAGCAAAGCTTCTGATTAGGTCCACTTTTAGCCTAGCTGCCCAGTTGCCCTGGTGCGACGAGCGCCAAGATTCAACCCTTCATTGTTCTGCGGAGAATACAGAATCGGGATAATTTAGTCCAGGAAGCCGTGACTATACAGAAAATGACGGATCGAGAAGCTATCGTGGTGGCCATTTCTGGCTGCTCGTCGAGCGGCAAGACGACGCTCTCACGCCTGCTACGAGACATATTTCCAAGCACCTTTATCCTGCATGAGGATGATTTCTACAAGACGGATAAAGAGTAAGTCTATGGATTTTTGAGAAATCTTTGAATATGTAATGAACAAAAATAAAAGTATTCCTCTCAAGAATGGCATCGCAGACTGGGATTGCGCCGGCGCCATTGACATCCCCGCCATGACCGAGGCAGTGGCATACATCCGCCAGCACGCCGAGATTCCAGTACGCACCGCACCAAAAGACTTGAAGAGGCAGTCGGAAGAGGGAAACCCCCTCTTAGAATACTGACCCAAAAAAATAGCCCACGTTAAACTCCAT